CATGTGTTCAGTACATTGTGTCAAATTAATATGGACAGATAACAATTTAACAGCGCTTAGAAATAATTCGTATTTACCATCAAAATGCATGTTCGGTTTGCCAAACATTTTGCAAGTTGCGAGAAATATAAGGTTTATCGTTTAAGAAAAAACTGGTTTACTGGCAAATAAGTCACCTTTTGTGCATCTAAAGGATCATGTGAAATCTCAGGTTTACAAAAATAAGCCACGAACAATTCTCGACCTTAAACGAAACATTAAACGCACTATTCAAAGTATACCACGCGATATTTGTAAAAGAATAGTAGAAATTAGGCCTTCATAATGCAAAGTCGAGGGGGACATTTAAACGATATTATATTTAAAACATAATGTCATCGATCGTTCTTCAAAATAAAATATAGATTACGGGATTATAACATAGAGTTATTTTTTTATCTCATTTAAAAGTTCTGACGCTCTAAATGAAAAACCCTTTATATTTTGGTAATGCAAATAAAAGCCTGAAAATTAATTTCTAAAATTTTAGGTTTCTCCTGAATCATAGCTTAAAAACTCCATTATTGGAAATTGATCGATTTCATATAAAAAATTCTTGCTTTAAATTAGCCAAATAGAGAGAATTAAAAGTTTATTATAATTATAACAAACAGTTTATTATAATTATCTACCGACGTTTCTTGCGAAAAACTTCACTGCTACAAGGTTTTAAATCTTTTTGTGATAAAATTTAAAAATATTCAAGGTAATTTACACCATCTTTGTCTCCTGTCACGATTTAAAGAAAGGTTAGATTTTATTCAGCAACGTTATTGTTTCAAGATTGGAGAAATTGACATTTTGAAATGGTATTTAAACTATTTAGAATCTTGGAGGTCAATAATAAATGCTTCATAAGTTTTGTAATAGTAATTTTTGAATTGTTTCTTAATAAGTTGCCTACATTTATATCATTTAATTATGCAGTAAAAAAACATTCTAAAACACTTATGTAGATAATTGTTAACATTTAACCACAAAATTTCTATAAACGGGATGTTTTAGCAATTAAAAAATAATTATGCCTTATTAAAATAACATTAAGCTTGTGTTATACATTTCTTCTTACAATACAGATACAGAATTTAAATTCGTGCATTCATTTTTTTCACGTCTGTCATTTTATTCGTGAAAGCGTGGAATAATTTTCTAATTTAAATTAATTTATATAGACGCTTTTAAAATAAAATGCAACGAATCGATACCGCCTTGAATGGAATTTAATTTCAAGTGGTAGGATCAAATTTGGAAAAAATGCTTTGTTATGCATTAAGTCTACGAGGTGAGTTCAGAAAATAACGGGAATTGTTAAATTTCTCGGGTTCGGAGGGTCCGGTTGTCATAAAATTTTCTTTATTATGTTGGTATACATGCCCCCGAAGTATGATAAAAACTAGCTGTTTTCATTGTTTACTTTGTCTGTGGCAGCCGCTAAGGTTAGACGTGTTTTATGAGCTCGGCGATTTTTCGTTCGTTAAAAGAAATGGATCAAAGAATTTGTATCCAATTTTGCTCAAAAAATTAAATAAATTCTGTGAAATGTTAACAAAGGCCTATAGTGAGTCTGCTATAAGTAAAACAAGAGGTTACAAGTGGTTTAAGAGTTTCCAAGATGGCCGTGAAGACGTTGAAGATGACGAACGCCCCGAACGCACAAGCACATTAACAACCGAGAAAAACATGGAAAAAGTGGAAGAAGTGGTTATAAACCATCAGAGAAGTCGCTGATGATGTTGGTATATTGATTGGCTCATCCCATGAAATTTTTTCGAATGTTTTTGATATGAAACGCTTGGTAGCAAAATTTGTTCTAAAATTGTTAAATTTTGAACAAAATTTTTGGCAAAAAATAATACTGTGATGATCCCCAGCCTCCATATTCGCCAGACATGCCTCTGTCTGACTTTTTTCTATTCCCAAAAATAAAAAGAACCTTAAAGGGCCGTCGTTTTGCAAGCATAGATGACATTAAAAGCGCATCGCTGAAAGAACTAAAGGCTATCCCAAAGATCGAATTTTAGAAGTGTTTCGAGTATTGGAAGAAGAGCTGGCACATGTGCATAATATCCAATGGAGACTATTTTGAAGGCGACAACATTAATGTAGACGAATAAATAAATATTTGTTTCAAAAAACGAAAATTCCCGATCTTTTCTGAACACACCTCCTATAAACGTTTATTTTAACAGCAAAAAAAGTATTTACGCAAAACTTAAAATCTTTATTATTTAATTTTGAAGAATATTTTTAAAGACTATTGCAGTTACTGGGATATGAAAAAAGACAAAAATATTTAAAAAAATCCAAAAAAGATCAAAAAAGTCTTTCAAATAAAAAAGATTCCCATACATAAAAGAGCATTTTATAATCAAAATCAACTTTTTTTATCAACCGAAGATAATTTTATCTTATTCTTTTGACACTTTCTCAAATTACATTTGTTAATAGATTTATGAAAACATTAGTTATCAAAACAAACAATGTTTTGGGAAATCTAGGAACATCTAGGTTATTTGGTATGCTAATTAATAGAAAAAATAAATTATACTTTAGTATTCTTGTAAACCAGGTCAGAATTTGCCTATTTTGAGTAAAAGTTGAATAATCCAAAATATGTTCAACAACATTAATAATAATAATATTTAAAGAGTTTACAAAAGAAGGTCTATAGGTTAAGCATCGCTAAACATATGTCTGAAAAATTTTCGAAAACATTTTACCCACACACATTATTAAACGCAAATGCTGAAATCTAATTGATGATTAAAAAGTATTAAATATACGGTTACGAGGTAATGGATTAGGTTACAGTTACCAACAACTTTGTGGCAAGAACGATCTTACGAACGTTTACACATTTTTCAATGAAACAGGTTTTTAAAGAATGCATGAATTTTTCAAAATTTAAATTTTGTAGTCCTCTTTAAAGTCATTTCGGTAACGCATTATAAAAGTAAAGAGGTGAACGTTTCCTATCTAGGACACTTAATTTTTTAAAAGTCTGTGTTTTATTTTAACATCTGTGGTATTAATTAGCTTTAAACAGTTAATTCCTTCGGAATATTTATTGAAAAACCATAAATTAATTGAAATTTCTATGGACTAAATTAGCTACAAAAATCAGTGCATTTTTGAGTGATTAAATTGAGTTAAAAGAAAAAGTTTTACGAAGGAATTTGGTGAAATTCGGTATCACCCTGTATATAAAAAATGTTTTAAACAGGATTTTAAGATGGATAGCATACTTTTTTAATGCAAATTTAAGTAAGAATGGCAATTTCTAAAGTTGACTTCCATATATATATTGGCGATAATTAAATTTGTATGGAAAAGGCATTTTATTCTAGAGAGTTGGCTATCGTTTGATATGAATCAAAGATGGTTTTTACACAATACAAAATTCTAAAAGCATTTTTATGTATTTTCTTATTCAGGCTAGAAATTAAGTTGTCTAATTGTAGTGAAAGCATTGAAACCAATCACGAAATATTGGAAAAAATATCGAACCACAAAATGGTAACATTATCATTATTGTTGAGGTTGTTATATTAATAATTATTGCATTTATTTAGTCCAGGAAACAAAGGTTGTAGAAGGAAAACTCGATGGTAGTCGGGTTTAATTTTTTTTATGTAGAGTCAGGGGTGCTGATAATGAATTAAGAATATTCCCCAAAAATTTCTTTTCGCGTCCCCTAATTTCATCCCTCGAAAGGGGAGGTTTTTTGCTTTTTGGCTCATAACTCGCTAACCGATTTTTTCAAAATTTGACCTCTGATAATTTTGATTATGTACTAAATAAGGCACTTGTTAAACCCCATTGCGCACCTATATGATGTGCCCTTTTACTATGCAAAGTTGATCGTTGCTTTCAAAATCAATTTTTTGTTTTTTTATTATAGCCCAATTTTAAAAGTAATCAATCTCAAACCTTACGGTAATCAAACATAACCGAATGGACGATTTTTTGAGGTACTACACTTTTTTTAAAAGTAACTGGTTTTCAATGTACAGGGGGTTCTTTTTTCAAAAAACCCATTTTTTATTTCCCAAACGGCTTTAATGAGCCAGTTCGTTCTACCCTAGATTTTTAGGTACACTTATACTCGTAACGAATCCGTAGTTTTTTTATTATTTTCATTGCAAGTGCCCCACAAAAATTAAAGTTTTGGAAAAAGAACCCCCTGTACATTGAAAAGCAGCAACTTTTGAAAAAAGTCTAGTACCTCAAAAAATCGTCCATTCTGTTATGTTTGATTACCGTAAGGTTTGGTTTTAAAATTGGGCTATAATAAAAAAACAAACATAAAAAACGCTCAACTTTGCATATACATATCGCAATGGGGTTTAACGTGTGCCTTATTTAGTACACAATCAAAAGTATTAGAAGTCAAATTCTGAAAAAATGCACAGTTAGCGAGTTATGAGCCAAAAAGCAAAAAAAAAAACCTTTCGGGGGATAAAATTAGGGGAGGCTGAAAGAAATTTTTGGGGAACATTCTTGATTCATTATCAGCACCCCTGACTCTACATAAAAATAATAAAACCCGACTACCATCGAGTTTTCCTTCTACAATCTTTGTTTCCTGGACTTATTGATTGATTTATATTTTAAACGAAAGTGCACTTTTTTTAATATTAATTATACTATTAAATATATTTCTTTCTTTTTGAATTAAAGTTTTAGGCTAAATTATACATCAGAGCTTATGAATTTCTCGAACACCTGATGGAGCATTATATTTGAAAAAGGACAAATTGGATGATATGTTAAACAAATATTAGAAATATGCCCCAAACCAAAACAAAACACAAAGTGCTTAAAGTACTTTTCGCCAACGATGTTTATCTTCACAAGCGAAGTGTTTTGTTTTGGTGTTGGGGAATATTTCTAATATTTGTTTCTGATGGAACATTTCAGAGGTTTAATTCAGCAAGTCGGAAAAATTGGATTAATCTTACCTTTAGGTCTGAGTGTATCTGCAAGAAGGTGGCAATCCCATTACGAACTCTGTTCTTAACCCCGCGCACTGTCCCCTTAGCACTCCTTATGGTAGCCGCCCCATCCCCCAAAATATCCTTGTAACCGGCAAATGTTTCGTCCTCCACCACGCACTTAACTTTATCACTTTTTTCCGCGACCTTCAGATGTTCGTTCATGTGAAAATTGTAGAACATGTCGGTATCGAAGTCCAGGTTCTTTTTGTTCTTGGTGATGGTGGTTTCTTCTATCAAGCGATCCTCGTATGTTTTTTCGTCTACGATTACCGGTGGTGGTGTTACAGGTGTTGTAACGGGGGTTGCAACAGGTGCTATAGGAGTTGCAATTGGTGACTCTGAAGGCGATAGTTTTGAGGATCTTAGCCTGATGTCCTGGAGAAGAGTTGTAGGTAAAAATGATGACTTATCATTGGCTAAAAACAAAAAAAATCGTAGAGTTTTAATCATTTAATGACTTATAAAGCATATTAAATTTCATTAAAATAAAAACGTTGTATGAGTATTAGTTATTTAGGTGCCTTGAATGATGCTATAGATTTTCAACTAAATACTACAAAAATTTTGTTGTACTATCTTAGATTTGATAGATCAAAATATCTTATCTTTATGTAATAGATTTATTAATAAATTTGATATTTTTATTTTAATTATCGATTGGGTGAATGCACTTAGGTTACGTTACTTAAGATTTTTGTAAAAAACTAGTTAAATAATAAAATGAAGAAAACCATTGTAAACAATAAATAACAGTATACAGGGTGTTTCAGAATAAGATGCTGAACCTTAAGGGTGTGAATCCTTAGTTGATTTTAAGAAAAAATTTCAAATAAACCTATGACCTAAACCTCTTAATTTTTGAGTTACAGGGTGTTAAAGTTTTAAGAAAAAAATATAATACTGAAGAGAAGTTGAGAAACCGCAGAATAGTTTGTTGTGACACTATCAGAAATACTCCAGGAATTTTTCTAAGGGTACGAAACTCAATGAGGAGAAGAGCTGAAGCATGCATACTTGCAGGTGGTGGCCACTTTCAACAGCTAATCTAAATTATTTTTGTTTTTGTTTACGTTATTTAATGTTAGATCTTTTAAAATTATTTTATAATTAAATTTAATTTTAATGTTTATTTAATCAGGACATTGTTTTCTCAATATGCGCATTAAATACTTTGTATTTTTTTCATCGAAAACCGTTAGTCGTACGAAAAATAATCAGGAAATCAAATTTGCCCTAAAATAAATGGGGATTTAAAAAATTATTTTTTATTTTGAAAAATAGCAGTGGCGTGCATAATATTTTTCCAAAAATATCTAGACCACATCCTGTACGGACGCCACTGGTAAAAAAAATAAAAAATCTTCTACATCAAAAACTTTCTGGTAATGCTTAGAAGGCGTGTGCCAAATTTTATAAGAAAAGTTATTAAAGTTATGATAAAAAACCATTTTTTTTCTTAAAACTTTAACACCCTGTAACTCAAAAATTAAAAGGTTTAGGTCATAGGTTTATTTGAACTTTTTTTCTTAAAATCAACTAAGGCTTCACACCCCTAAAATTCAGCATCCTATTCTGAAACACCCTGTATAATGTAAAACAAAAATTAGAAATATTCCTAACTTAGTTACACTTTGCTTCTGAAGATCCCAACATCGTTGGCGAAAAGTACTTTGTGTTTTGTTTTGGTGTTGGGGAATATTAAATTTTCTAATATTTGTTTAACAAATCACCAAAGTAGTCCTATTTCAAGTATCAGTATGTAATGTGCCAAAAGATTCTAAACTCAGTTTTTAATTATTTCTCGCAATAAAATTAGTCAATTGGGATAGAAAAAGCATCTTAATATACTAGATAATGAGCATTATTGACTCTGATGGTTTTATAATATTTATAATAGTTTATTAAATGGTTCTAAATATTAGTAAATTAAAAAAACAGTTTAAAAGCAAGTTTAACTTTTTTTGCTTACCTGAAGTGTTGTTTTGATTTATGGGCGAAATCTTCCCACTGGTCAACGAATCACAGCTAATACTACTCTCATTATCATCACTGTCAATTTCGGCACCACTGCTGGAACTAGGTGCACTTCTATGACCGCCCCCGATGAGGGTAACCGAAGTACTTTTCTTCTTGGGTAAAGGCGGAGGAGTGCCGTCCAAGTCGCTGCAGGTACCCGAATCCAGGGTATCGCTGGGTGATATTTGACCGGAGGACATGACGCAGTTGTTGAAGGAACCGTAGAAGAAGTAAGGGTTGTTCTGCGTGTCCATGTTCACCATATCTGAGTCGGGGTTGTTGACGGTTATGCAGACGACACCATTTGAGGGTTTTCGGGGCTTTTCCGTGGTTATACGAACAATTTCTCTGTCTTCTATGGAAGAGTAATCAACGTCGTTGTCGTTTTCTTGATTTATCAACGTCGTACTTCTATTGCTGTGGTTGTTGCTTATGGGATTGATGTGTATTTTCACGATATTTGCTTCGGGTACTTCTTGTATTCTGTACTGGTACACGTCTAGAGATTGCGGAACCTCTTGGGATAGTACCGTTGCGTCGCTTTGGCTGAGAAGAGGGGATTTCTTCGTTTTCGGAGGTAACGGTGGAACTACTGCATCCACTTCGTTCATTTTGATGGAGTTGAATTGTCTGAAATTTAAAGACAAATTCAGGTTTAACTTAATTGACCATTGTATGAAAAAAATTTCCTTCATAGATTATTTATAACCCTCTATGTTTCCATTTACTAATCTACCAAAAGGTAAATATTTCATAAGCATTTAAATAGCGACCTCGATTTTAAACACTAAGCATAATAACTGTACCGCCGAGAAAAAATTAATAATTTAGAGCAACCAATTATCATATAAATATTTCAGTACATATTTGGTCAACCAATAATAATTATAATTTCATAACCGCCTTGTGAATTTTTCCGATAAACTGTGTTGCATACTAAATGCGTAATGATTAAGGGAAAGTAGGAACAATGACCCCTTCATAATATTATGTCCCCAAGAAATAAACACGTTCCTACAGACTACGCGTAGCTACGTGAATTTAAAATGGTTAGGTAGCTTATTCTTGTAATTATTATATAATGTTTTGTTGTTATGTTGCTCTTATGCGCGTACCCAGAAGAATGAATTGTATTTTCCTTTTTAATAAAGGTACCTAGATTTAAAAATATTAAAAAGCCTTGTGCAAGATGTCTGGCAGAACAAAACAAGTTTTTGCTTCATTACATGTGAAGTTTTCGAGAAGTAACAGAAAGGATTTTTAAGGGGCATAACGAAATTTGTAATATAATAAATCCTCAGATATTAAAGAAAAATAACCCATTTTTTTCTCGAAAACCCAGTAAAGCAAATTCAAGGTCGACTTTGTCAAAAACCATCGAAGAAATAAAATCGATGCCAAAATTGAACAAACTGATTGATTTTTCATCCACCGTATTCTCCAGACTCACCTCCTCATCGCCTTTAATCTGTTTTCAATTAATCAAAAACAAATGCAAAAAGAACGAACATTGACTTCAGTTAATTAAAAACAAACGTTTGAAAGGACAAAATAAAAAATTGTGTTATATTGCTATTTTAAAATTGAATAAAATAATACATATGGGTGATTCCGCTGTTGCACCCGCGAAAATGTCAAATATCTAAGATATAAAATATGATTTTTATAGCCTGAGCAAACCAATATTTTTAATAAAATTAATGCTAATATATGCTCTAGAAACCTATTCGCAACACTTAATACTTATACTTAGTAACTTGGTTAATTCCTAGTTGCGACCTTGAGGCAACTATAAAAGTTCCTTCGCATAGTAGAACATGCTTCCGGTGCATAGGCACAAGACAGAGTCACGTGTGCATTTTTACCTACCTGTCATTATAATAGACTATAGATTCCAACTGTTCTTGCTCCACTTGCTGGGTATTATGATGTTGTGCTGTTAAGGCAGGTACCGGGCCAATTAGAATTCCGTTCTCATGTTTTTTTATACAGTGGCGTCAAAATATTAATAACGACAACGTTTAGTATACAAACTCATCTTATATACAACAAGGTTCACGAAACACTGGTGAGATGTAATTTAAATAACTCATTTAAATTACAACTCAACACGGTTTGGTTTTTTTTGTACAATAATCATCAGTATTTGGGGCATTAGATATTCCTTGTAACGCCACTGAGTTTTAAAACTAAAATTTGTTTAAATTAGACAGCTTAGTGATACGGTTGAAAGGCTTGAGGCAGATGTAACGAACTTTTTCCTGTAATTTCGATAATTGTCTTAACCGGATGTAACAGAATTAAGGAGGGGTTAAGGGGGTTGAAGGTAAGTTATTTCCTTTTAAAGTTTCTTTGTTTTTAGTTTGGCTCTATTTTACTATTCTTAGAAATCAATGTTATTGTCTGTACCATGCAGTTCTCGCGCCTTCGTACAGCCACCACATAACTACATGTGCAATAAGAAAAAATTGAACCTACACCTCGCCAAAGATTTTTGTTTTGAATGCGTTCCACCAACTTCAAATACCGACAGACAGCTGTTTCGACCTTTATTGGGTCTCATCAGTGTCGGGCAACTTGGTGTAGTGGAACACAATCAAAACAAATTACTCCCTCAGCTTATATGCTCGGTTGTTAAGTCAACAGAGGCGAGATGTAAGAACATCAGGTGATCCTTATGAATATTACCAGTGATGGGTCAAGAAAGTTTCTTAAAGAAACTAAGAAAATTGAATGTTTACATGTGCAATGTTTCTTTTCATCAAATCAAATACTGAATGTCCTCAAATATTTTTAAGGTGTAAATTATAATTTAATTTCTATTGTTTTTAAAGATCAACACCAATTAAAATTCTTTAGGCATAGAAAAAATAACCATTACTTTTTACCTTGAATTTGACTGTACATTTTTTGGGGAGTGTTTAATATTTGCATATTAGAAGGTCAGAAAATGATCATTCAAGAAAAATATTTTTCATTCTGTGCGTTACATGAGGATTAATTATGATTACCATGTATTTATTTTGAGATTTTCTTGCTTAGTTTCGTTTATTTATGGTTATTTTATTTCACAACAGGTTTCTTGAAATACAAAAACACTTTTGAAATTTAAACTGGTTTTTGATGCACCTATAAGTAAACAAGTTTAATAAATTGACAAATAAGATAAATACTAAAAAAATAATAGGTTTTAAGTCGAAATGGTTCTAATGTAAAGGAATGAAGATTATGTTTAAAAGGACTTTTTGGCTAAATAAAAAGTACATAATAATTATAATTAGAAGTAGATTTCTAAGTACAGGATGTATGTCACTAGTTAAATAAGTGTATGTTAAATGTAGCCTTAAATAATAAATACGAAACTAGGACAAACCTTATGTTAAACAAATTTATTTATTAATTGGTATTTACGCTGTAACATATAAATCAATATTTAATGTTTATAATTACATTAATATTAACAAACATTTCTGAATATTTTGTTGTGAATTATTAATACGATTTTTTAAGTATAAATTATTTACTTATGTAAGCAGTTATTGACTTGAAGTAATTTGATACTGAAATATCTCATTTATCCTTTAATTATAAAAAATACATTTACTTTCAATAAAGTTTCTTAAAAATAATTAATGCAATTTGCGAAACAATTAAATTAATTTGTGCAGCATATTACTATAATAATACGTTTACTTTTAGTTTGGAGTCTAATATTATAAAAACACTGTCACTAAGTAAAAATAAAGTAATTATTTTATTTTCTCAATACTATACAACCATTTATAATTTCGGGTGCAGTACCCATAAAAACATCCTATTCACTTTCACTATGAAAAACTGCTTCTATATCGAATTTAAACGTCTGTTGGTCAAGAGAGAAATTTCGATTTTTACAATTTGACAAACTGACTCTGACATTTTAAAAGCCGGTAAAACAGATTCCTGACACCATTTTTGTAAAGAGGTCGCTCTACACAAATATTCAAATTTTATTTGTCTTTAAAATAACCGAATGGTTACTTTATTTGTCTTTAAAATAACCAAATGGTTACTTTATTTTAACAAAAATATTTGTTTTTGGGTTTGGCGTAGTTATGCAATAATAATTTTTTGTTCCAAATTAGATCGTCTTTTAAAATATGTAAAAATATACAGGGTGTTCCGTTTAAAAAAATGTTATTTTTGTAAATATTTCGGAAACTTGAAACTCAATTTAAAGAATTATGGTAAGGACGTTTTAAGTATTTTTTAAAAGTGCTTATTTAATTCTTTTAATAAAAAAAAACAAAATTTCTTTAGTCAAATAATAATAAAATAAATTTTCTGTATAAAATATGAACGTTATAAACAAATCTTAAGTATATATGGGTGATTCTACAAAAGTTGGGCAACTTTTGACCTCATTTTGTTGATATAGTTTTCGGAGAAAATTAAACAGTATTTTGTTATGAGAACATAGATAATATAATAAATATACTGTTCCAGACCGGGCCAGTCACTTTTTCAAACAGTTTCTGAAATATCTGTGTTTTCTAAATTTGAATGCAAGGGAAGTGACGAGTATACCAGGGTACTAATTAAATACATAATTTATTGGAAAATATAAGATTTATTGCAACTTTGAGCGTATTATACATTAAATATCTTAAAATCAAATAATACCACACATCAGTGGCGGCTGGTGAATTTTGGGTATACCGATATCTCAATTATTAGATATGGGACCCTCACCAAATTTATATGAGTTTATAATGACATTAAATAAACAAGTTTTGCGCAAGCAGAATTTAAATTGAAGTTTGCGAAAAAAAGATAACCGAAACATTGAACATGGAACTTACGACACAGTACTAATGAATTGGATACAAATTTGAGATTATAATTCGGAATTAAGTATTTTACTGATATTTTTTATTAGTGGATGCTACTTATCAACAAATCACATATGGCCTTATATAAATTACAATGAAATATATACACGTAGAAAACCACAGTACTGAAATTTTGACTGGAACTATACTTGCATTCACCACAACTTCGCCGCTTGCATTGTGTTTAAGATGACTGTCGTTCAAAGGGCGGGCTCTGTAGGTAATTTTTTACCAACACTTGAGTTAAAACGAGGACTTGACGTTTAAACTTCAATATTTTGCAGGAATTTTGAATTTTAACATTGGACATAGAACTGACGGGTAAAAGTGAGTACAAAGGTTACCAATTTTTAAAAAATTGCTATTATTCGAATCTATGATAAAATATGAAAAATTCATTATTTAATGTTTTATAGTTTGTGGTGAAATTGAAAAATTTCAGATAAATTGAATATATTTTAAAATAAAATCACTTAAATATTTGATTCAGGAGTTGTGACACGCCAAGGTACTGATATATTATGTTTTTTTACAAACGTGCTTTTGAAAAAATACATTAAAATTGGGTGGACAAGTTAAAAAAAACTGGATCTTTTGTAATATACTAAAATATTAAAAAAAATATTAAAATAGCTACTCTATTGACTGATGACATCAAGTTGTCCAACTTTTGTAGAATCACCCATATAATTGATTTATATTTAATATTTATGCATGTTGTTTTTAAATGTTAAAATTATAAATTTATTTTAAGACAGTTGACGTGACATGTTAATCACTCACCTAATTTTAGTTAAATGTGTAATCCAAACACAGATTCAACCATAACACACTTTTAACAGTTCCAATTAATATTGTTCAACACTTTTAACATCTGCAAAGCGCGCACAAAACTTTCCTTCGGCACAAAATCTGCACTAATTTTAATCGATATAAATCGTTTTTTTATTTTAATTGCGATATTGGCGCCCGTTCGAATAATAAGGGGACTCTCGGCGTGGAAATCGGTGCGCTGGTCACTCAGGTACTACCGCGACTGTGCTACTTAAGCTTGTGTTTTCATCGGCAGTTTAAGTCTCCAAAAGGAAGGTCTGCCAGTCAAGCAGGCTTGGTGTGTGTGCATGGCTTTCTCGATGGCGATGCACCGTGCTTCAGGCGGCTTCTTGGCCGGATAAGATTTGTCTTGACTATTTGATAACTGTTTAATCATATATATCCATATATTTGAAGAGATACAAGGTCGGTTATTTGATATAACTTTTATCAGAGAAATGTTGCGTTACATAAAAACTTCGTTATTACTAGGAATTATAAAAAATGTAAACATACACATTAATATACATTTTGATCTAATTTCCCCAGGTAGCACAATTGCTTAAATAACTAACATTCCAAGTAAATTAACCAAAATCTAAGTAAAATATCGGAAATATGGAAATTTTGGAGTTTTACGAATTTTTTGAAACTCTAACACTAGAAAAATATATTTTCTTGGGTGATTCTACAAAAGTTGGACAACTTGATGTCATCAGTCAATAGAGTAGGTATTTTAATATTTTTTGTAAATATTATATATTTTTATTTCTCCACCCAATTTTAATGTATTTTTTCAAAAGCACGTTTGTAGAAAAACATAATAAATATTCAAAACATCAGTACCTACCTTGGCGTGTCACAACTCCTGAATCAAATATTTGAGTGATTTTATTTAAATTTTTCAATTTCACTACAGACTATAAAAATAATGTATTTTTCATATTTTATCATAGATTCGAATAATAGCAATTTTTAAAAATTGATAATCTTTCTACTCACTTTTACCCGTCAGTTCTGTGTCCAATGTTAAAATTCAAAATTCCTGCGAAATATTGAAGTTTAAACGTCAAGTCCTCGTTTTAACTCAAGTGTTGGTAAAAAATTACAGAGCCCGCCCTTTGACCGACAGTCATCTTGAAAACAATACGCCGAAGTTGAGGTGAATGCACGTATCGTTCCAGTCAAAATGTTTCTTACGTATATATATTTAATTGTAATTTATATAAGGTTATATGTGATTAGTTGATAAGTAGCATCCACTAATAAAAAATATCAGTAAAATACTTAATTCCTAATAATAATCTCAAATTTGTATCCCATTCATCAGTACCCTGTCGTCAGTTCCATGTTCGATGTTTCGGTTATCTTTTTTTTTGCAAACTTCAATTTAAATTCTGCTTGCGCAGAACTTGTTTATTTAATGTCATTATAAACTCATATAAATTCTATATCTAATAATTGAGATATCGGTAAACCCAAAATCCACCAGCCGCCACTGATGTGTGGTATTATTTGATTTTAAGATATTTAATGGATAATATGCTGAAATTTGCAATAAATCTTATATTTTCCAATAAATTATGTATTTAATTAGTACCCTGGTATACTCGTCACTTCCCTTGCATTCAAATTTGGAAAACACAGATATTTCAGAAACTGTTTGAAAAAGTGACTGGCCCGGTCTGGAACAGTATATTTATTATATAATGTATGTTCTCATAACAAAATACTGTTTAATTTTCTCCGAAAACAATATAAACAAAATGAGGTCAAAAGTTGCCCAACTTTTGTAGAATTACCCTCATACAACTGTTTGTAAATGGAATAAAAAAAGTTCGGGCTTAGATCCTGTCCTAAATATTAAAAAAAATATTTAATTTGGAGTATTTTATTTTTTTGTGCAAATTTCATCAACAAATATTTTTTTCGAACTTTTGACTCTTTTTTTTATCACTTTTAGGGTTTTTATTTCCCCTCAAATTTTGACAGTATAATCAAGAACCCCGTACGAACATTTTAAGATTACAAAAACGAACAAAATATTTTTTTTATAAAATTTGCATACAAACAATTCCAAACAGAAGAATTTTTTTTGCTAAATCTTATTTTACTTACCTATAAACGGTTGTATAAATTTGACTGAAAATTTGGCGTGAAATAATATTATTTTTGCATAATGTATTTTTTATTAATTATTATTTTTCCATTAATTTCGACACACTCATTGAACATTAAGGGACTGACAAGTTCATAAATAACGCATATTTTAAATAAATTACATTATTTTATACTTTTTAGTACGTGTTTTTCAAGTTTTATATCTTGTCCTACTAAAAATCACTTTTTAGACCACAGTGTGCCGCCGCAGTGGCCGGGTCTCTTCGTCTTTTGCACGTTGCCGTTTAATTAGTTGTTCTTTTACTTTGCCCGACTTCACAATGCCCATATGCTTCTAGATATTGCCGATTGCCTTTTATTGCCAAGAAGAGGATTTGCTGTGTTGTTGCGTACTACTATTTTTTTAGCATTGAAAGTTTTTAGTTTATTTGTGAGGTGTTTTTTGAATTATTGTTAGATAGATTTTTTAAATATACAAATAATCTACATTGACAAAATTTATAATTTTGTGTAGCTACAAATAAAATAAAATATTCAAATGCTGGTTTTGTTAAATCAAAATGTTTTGTGCATAAATGTAACTCATTAAATGTTTTTGTCATTTAAATTTTACGTCAAAAATTTGAATGTTGATGAATTCAACATTAATTACTTTTTTATCAGAAATTAAACATTATGGATTAAAGTATACATATAGCTATATTTAGAACTAAGTAGTCAAAGAGATTGACTTTAAACTAATCATTTTAAAATTAAAATCCATAATTCAAATTAGCGTTATGATTGCAGATTTTTTTATTTGGGATTTTCCTTTACACTTCAAATTCAGATGACACCAATGCAATTTATTTGGCCAGACTCTTTAAATGTTGACAAAAACTCTAATAAAAGATTAAAATCTAAAAACCATTACTTACTAAATGTGTTCTTTGACATAATTTAAGTAAAAAAGTTTTTATACACTTTTTATGATAACAAATAAATTTGTTTGGGTAATCAGCAAGGCTATTCTTTGTTGGACAATTTTAGGGATTGGTTCGACATAAAATTTTTATGTTTATTTGGTTAAATGGGATAGTCAGGAAATAAATGACATTTTATTTTATTTTATTACTACAATACAGTATTATGCCTACCTATAAAATCCAAAAAATCTAGGGGAGATCTGGCCAGCCAATAAACGTATTTTTTTTAGAAGGCAAAGATGGTAATATCTCCTCTAGTAATATACGCTAAAGAAGTATCGCTAGTAGCGCCACCACTCGGCTGATCATCGTAACGAAAGTAGAACTTTTAATAATCAGCTGTCAAATGCTTAGGTTACAAACGAGTGTCTTTGAGAATAAAGCCGGAAAATGTTAAAATATATCGAAAAAAAACCGTGGATCGATTTGTTGTGTTGTTGGTTGTATTTCGAGAGGAAATCCTGGGTTGAGTTTTTACCGGTTTTCCAATAAACAGTGTTAATCTGAATGAAGAAATAAATTGCATACAGTCTCTGTAAATATAAATTGTAGCTATTAGATACAATAAATACACATTTTAGTAGTGATTAACGTGAAAAGTGTAAAAATTTCAATTCAGGAAAAATCGTCAAACAAATAAGTCGTCTAAATTGAAACATCATTTAGAACTATTAAAGCGTTGATTAAGAATTCTTTAAAGTCTCCACTCAACGGTAAAATACCATTATATATAATATTATGTTGCCATGAATTCGTAGGTATATTTTGTTGTTTAAAATGCAGTTGTCGGCGTCTTTTAGAAATATTAAAATGGTTGATTTTAAGGTTATGTTTGTGCCAGAATTATTTTTTAGTAATTTCTTAAAACTGTCGAAACTTAAATATTAGGTAAAGTTATCATTAGTTAATTCTGCACCAAAAAATGTACTTACCGAATTGGATCCTTTGGCAAAACATGAAAATGCAACGATTTAGTTCTTGAATTTTATTTACAATTAAAAACACAATAATTCACCATGACCCCTTAGATAAAATAAACACACTAATGTAACTATGTAAGCATTTCAGCGTAGAGTTTCTTAATCAATGATATAAGGAATAATCAATCGAAATCGAGTACTAAAAGTTTTTTAATTTTTCCTTGCAACGTATAAAACACAAATAACGTGCGAGATTTAGCTGTGCAATTGAACAAAAATTGTCGAGTAAGACTTCTGCCTTCCTCTCTTTAAAAAAAAACTACCTATTTATTTAAAAATGATGTATAATGGGTGCTCGATACGTCTTTAGCGTATTCACTTGTCGATAACCACTCTCTTAAAATGAATTAGTCAAAAATAACTAATTATAAGTCATATTTGACTAATTGTTATAGCGAAAAAGCAGTCACTAATAATTATAATTAGTCAAATTCTACTAAATGAAATAGTCAAATTAGTAGATTTAAATTTAAAAAAAGTTTTGACCCATCCTGGGATTGAACTCAGGTCTGTCACTTGTCAAGATGTTGTCATAACCCATTCGGCCATCAGCCGCTCTTATAAAAATTAATTTTATTTGTCAATAAATATTGTTCATAATATTTTAAAGTTGAATATATTATTTTTGTTGCTGTTTTGAGCTAAACTTCTTGCATCTTAATTTGTTTTTATGGGTCATTTAACCATGGGGCTTAGGTATATTTAATTCAAATAATACTTTGTTGTTGGCCGCAAACGATTAAAGATATTAGTTACTTTTAACTTTCAGAAATAGTCAAAGATGGTGACTAATCTTGAATTAGTCAAACTTTAACTATTTACGTAGTAAAAAATAACTATTTAAAAGTGAAACCGACTATTTTATTAGTAAAAAATGCTGGTACTAAATAAAATAGCAGAATTTTGAATATTTCATTTTTAGAGAGCATAATAAAGCTTCAATTAAGAATTTCAAAATGTGGTATTATTATTTTTATGTTCTGTAAAGTTCTAAACAAACCGTTATTCTATCAATAATACGTTGATCAACTCACGTGCGAAATGTAGCTGTGCCAACTAGTGGAATTTGCATGCACGTGGTTTAAAATAATGAATTAATTATTACATTTATACGCTTTACAGCAATTACGCGTGTACCCTGTTACCTAAAGAGTTGCTTTACTACGCATAATACAATTTAATAATTTTGCACAATTTGACAACAAAATGTATAAAAATGTCTAGAATATGATTGGAATAAAATAAATTAAAAAGGTATTTTTAAGAGTCTAGTGCACGACTTTCATGAAAACAAAATGTTTTTCTTAGAATTATTTTCTTTATTTATTGAATTTCTCACTTTTATGTTTTCCAGACGTATGAAGGCTTTTTTGACTAAAAGTATGTTTAGTAAATCAGAAGTGGGTTGAATTATGTGTCTTACGGAAGCTGTATATTCCTATTATGTCTTGTAATAAAAGATTCTTTAATAATTAAATGATATTTAAACATGTTAGACATTTTAACAGATAAAAGGAACATTTGTATTTAAAAATAACACAATACCTACATGTAGGAATATATTTTACATACAAATAAAATAATATGTTGTACGTTCAAGGCTAATGTAATAATTGAAAATTAATACATTTTTTATAACAAAATATGCTTATTGCAATGTATACACACGTTTGTCTAAACGTGAGCGACTGGGAAGATTTTGAATTCCGACAGCTTACCAGTGGCGTAACTAGGCTGGAGCCCCTAAAACAGGGGAAGTAAAAAAAATTTGTAATATCTCAGCAAGAAAAAAATCAAATTTATACATAAGTATACATAATATAAAAATAAAACATTGTAAAGACCCCAAACTGGTGATGGGATTAGCTACACCTTTTAATGTCGTAATATTTCATTCGTAATTGTGATTTTTTGCTCTCTATATATATTACATATACTAGGTGTGTTCATAAAATATCGGGAATTTTCGTTTTTTGAAAGATAGCCTTTAGTTCTTTCAGCGATGCGCTTTTAATGTCATGTATGCTTGCAAAACGACGGCCCTTTAAAGTTCTCTTTATTTTTGGGAATAGGAAAAAGTCAGACAGAGGTATGTCTGGCGAATATGGAGGCTGGGGCATCATTACAGTATTGTTTTTGGCCAAAAATTTTGTTCAAAATTTAACAATTTTAGAACAAATTTTGCTGCCACGCGTTTCATACCTAAAACATTCGAAAAAATTTCATGGGATGAGCCAATCGATATACCAACATCATCAGCGACTTCTCTGATGGTTTATAACCATTTCTTCCACTTTTTCGATGTTTTTATCGGTTGTTAATGTGCTTGTGCGTTCGGAGCGTTCGTCATCTTCAACGTCTTCACGGCCATCTTGGAAACTCTTATAACACTTGTAAACTCTTGTTTTACTTATAGCAGACTCACTATAGGCCTTTGTTAACATTTCACAGAATTTATTTCATTTTTTAAGCAAAATTGGATACAAATTCTTTGATCCATTTTTTTTAACGAACGAAAAATCGCCGAGCTCATAAAACACGTCTAACCTTAGCGGCTGCCATAGACAAAGTAAACTATGAAAACAGCTAAAGTTTTTATCATACTTCGGAGGCATGTATACCAACATAATAAAGAAAATTTTATGACAACCGGACCCTTCGAACCCGCGAAATTTAACAATTCCCGTTATTTTCTAAACACACCTCGTATATATATATATATATATATATATATATATATATATATATATATATATATATATATATATATTAATTGATATCTTAGTTCTAAGGGAAAAACCAATGGACCATTTTTTTCCTGATACCTATAGGTATCAGGAAAATATATTTAATTCTGACATTATTTAACGTTTAAAACATGTTTTTTATTAAGTGTTTTAAACAGTTTAAAACAAGAAGAACAATAAAAAAATCATGGTTTTATATATTTTTTTAACAGTTTTTATTTAAATTTTTTCCATGGTCCAAATTTACGTCCTTGCGCCTAGTTACGCCCCTGCAGCTTACCTACGTATGTACTGGACGTACGTCCAGTTTATTTATATAGGCAATCAAAATACATTTTATTGATTGCACAAAACAATATTATAATAGTATAGTATACTATTACACAGGGTGATTCCTAAGATAAACAATATCTTGACAGTCATCAAGTCAATAGATCCCAGTAATTCGAAGGCAATAATTAAAGAATATTATTTTTTAATTATTAACGCAATTATGAGGCAATTAAATAAAAATCTAACAATTTCATAAAATGTTAAAAAATTACCAATTAGGAAATAAACTGAGAAATTTTGTAATTGTTTTATTTCAACGTTATATGTTATAACTAGATATATATAACTTTTCTTGCTTTTTTTATCTGATGGAACAATATTCAATACCCAAAGAAATAAATTGTTCCTTTAATACTTTAACTAAAACTTAATTAACATTAATCGATTAAATATAAACTCAATTATAGACCATGGTCTAAAAACTCAATAAATAAACAAGCCTGCTGCGACCGCTTCACCTTAACTGCAGTTAACCCATGGGTTTTAAATTAAATTAAAAAAATATCTGGGAATTTTTGTCAAACCTGGCAACGTGGATCCTTGCAGATCGGGGTAATTTTATCATTAATAATTAATTTTGTGAGAATTATCACAAAACATGACAGCGTAGCATTTTTGTAAAATTTTGTTCAAAATGGTTAGTAAATAAAAAAAGTTACTCTGTTACTTTATTACATGTAAATTTACACTATTTTTTTTTCAACCGTGTAACTTTTTTATTGGTGGTCCAATTTACACAAAATTTACAATTTTTACCAAAAAAAAAAATTAAGTTTTATATTTTATATACAAATTTTTACCACATGTGTTAAGAACTAGAAACATTTTTTTATTAAAACTTACTTAAACATTATTAAATTGAAATAATATCACTAAATACGTGGTGACAGCTCCAACAACCTAAAAAAGTAAAACATAATAAGTTTAATGTGAGGTTAGATAGATCTGCCTAAATAACTTAACGCTATGAATCTAAATCATTTTTAAGTGCCTAGAACTTAGACCGATTGAAGATAAAAAAACTTACAGCTGTAATTAGTGATCTCTCAATTATGACAAGTCCACACATGTGAAATCGTATTTTACAATAGGATAGCTGCATGGCAAAAACTGATAACTAAAAAAATTGCCAATAGAGAAAAACTTTATCTTAAATCATTTAAGTTTGGTATGAACTCACAGCCGATCTAGTGTCATCGTCCTTCGTGAATGAGAGGATTTCGCACACGAAATTGATGGTTTTCCAGCTCTAAAAAGGAACATAAAAACAACTTTGAAAAGTTTTTATTTCACACTGCCTGGAAAATATGTAAGTTATAACATGTCGGTATTAAGGTTTATCCCTGGTATTAAAGCCGGTAAATGCCTTACACAGTAAAAAATCGACTTGAGTAAATCGCCAAAAATCATTGAGTTAATGCATTGCTGAGTGAAATGTTGAGTAATTTTGTAAATATTATTCTAATTTGTGTATATTTAACTAAAACATTATCTAAGTTACACTTTTTTATGAAATTGCAATTAAAATTGTGTAATTTTACTAAGTTTTTGGTTAAACATAAGTAATTACTCATATTTTCAAATTACCCATGGGTAATAAAAACTCTAGAAAGTGAAGATTTATTTCTTTCGGTTGAATTCGCGTCTTTCACCTCTTAGTTGCCTGTTGATCTGACGCGTTGCATATTCCGTTAGGATTTGTTTTGGTTAATTAGAGTACGAATATAGGTAAGTTATTCCTGTAATATTACATCCTTATACATAACACTTATCGTATAAGTAATAATATATTGTATATAAAGTACGAAAAACGTTGTATTTAAAGTGGGATATTTAGGGAAAAAATATATATGGAGTCGGCGTTCGAAAGATGAGCTCAATTATTCGAACATTATTGAACTCTGCTCTAACTTAATAATTATTAGTAACTTTAACTTAATTATTACATTAAGTTTTGATCTTGCTTTAAGTTGTTTGTTTTAGGAGCCATATGAAGCTTATCAGTCATACAATACAACTAAGCATTATATTATTATAACCTATATTAAGGTACATTTTTTATAATATTTATAATGTATACATTTGTTTTGTATTTAAAAGAAAATTTAATTGATAATTTACCTTTTTTATACATAATTAAGCTACTCTTTTTAAAAATAATGTACGTTTTTTTTAAATAAAGTTTTGGTTTTATGATGAGTGTAATTTTATAAATTTACCTGCATTAATTAATAATGAGTAGAATTAACACTATTTAGTGAAAACAAGTCACTAAAGTGTGTTAAAATTAAATCAAAATAAGTTTAAAGTTACTTAAAAATATGTAAATTTTTACACAATTTTTAGACATAAATCACTTTTTTGAGTTAAAATTCACTCAGAATGTATTAATATATTTAACTCATTAAAATATAAATGTTACTAAAAAAACGAGTTAATTTTTTACACAATCCGGTGAGGACTCGTTTTGACAACACTTTGAGTTAATTTTGAGTTAAAATCCACTCAAAATTTTTTAGTGTGTAATATAGAAAACATCCACGGACAACAGTGAGATGTATGGTAGGTTGAGTTTTATACTGGTGGCATTTGGTGGTGCGATCGTGAGGCAGAAACCAAACTTTTTTTTTAAATATAGCCCGGTCAACATTAAACGTAACACAGTATTGCCGTTATGTAACATAGGAGTCACATTGCAATGTAACGATGTTACTAAAATGCAACGCAACAGTTACCTAAAATAATGGTAACATTGTTACCGTTCCAAGTTAACCAATAGGCAATATAACATTAACGTACCATTGTGAAACTATTGTAATGTAACAAAATTATCAATAAGCAATATAACAGCAACGTAACATTGTGAAACTATTGCAATGTAACAAAATTACCAATAGGCAATATAACAATAACGTAACATTGTAAAACTACTATAATGTAACAAAATTATCAATAAGCAATATAACAGCAACGTAACATTGTGAAACTATTGCAATGTAACAAAATTACCAATAAGCAATATAACAATAACGTAACATTGTGAAACTACTTTAATGTAACAAAATTACCAATGAGCAATATAACAGCAACGTAACATTGCAATATTATTGTAATAAGTTTGTTTCGTAACAGTTACATTTATGTTACGTAACAAACTTATACTTTTACACATCATTTACATCTCGCTCGTGTTACCACCTCGGCTAGGTATATAAACGAAGTTAAGACAGCGCACCATGTCCATTTGTCATTGGACCTCAAACAGTCTGCCTGATTATGGGAAAATCAGAATACGACATTATGTATCATTTGATACGCTTTATCTTTAAACTGACGGGACTTTCTCATAATAACGTTGCAATGTAGCAATGTTACATAACCGTAAAGGCCATGTTATGTAACATAACTTGGATTGCGAAAAAGTAACGGCAACGTAACATTGTTACCTATTTGCAACCATCAGGTTATGTAACTGTAACGATCGTTGCATAACATTTTGGTTAATATTACGTTACAGTTATGTTTCACTTTCATAACGGCAATGTGACATTGTTATGTAACAATGTTACTCCAATGAGTGGGAAATAGGAACCTATTTGTAACCGTCAGGTTATGTAACTGTAATGTTACACATCACAATCGTTACATAACATTTTGGTTAATGTTAGGTTACAATGTTGACCGGGAGGTACTGTACCTCTCTTAAACATTGATGACAAGGTTCCACAATCATGAGTAGTCTTAATGCTTGCGTAAATACCCAAACTGACTGCAAAATTATGAAAATTGTGCTTCCATTATTTGAAATTTCGTATAGGAGGAAATAGGGCGTTACTATTAGGTGTAGGAGACAACTCAATAAAATGATCTAAAAATGTCAAAATACAGTTATCAACTGATTTACAGATCCATTTATTGCAAGTAAAATACTGGACTTAATTATAATTATTTTTTACTTACAATTATTCCAAATCCTACATATTCGTTTAAATGATCTACTGCCTCCCAAAGCTTCTCATAAGCTTGACTGTACGATTTAATTTTATCAGCTGTAAAAAATAACCACATTGTTACGAATAAAAATCTTCATAACTGACTTACCCGTATTAATTTTTTTAAAAAGCTTCCCTGTGCTACCTAAAAAGTTACCCCTAAACCTTGCATTTTTCGGTACTACATCATTCGCCACCACTGACGGTACAAACTTTATATCTTCCACGTGTTTCAGCTTCAGCTGCTCAGCTGATTTAGCTTCCTTTTGTAACGCCCTATTTAATGATGTCAAACGAATTCTTACGAAATAAACCAGGTGACAAAAATGTATCTAAAAAATAAATATCTCTTTAGGATATCAAAATCTTTCATAAATAATATAACATATTAACCCCCTTAAAGTTAAGTGCTGGTAATAAAAAATGTAAACGCAATTATTTGTAGATTTACATGTTTACATATTTTTGTTGATTTTTATCAAATCAATTAGGAAAATTATTCAAACTAAACACCTATTTACTAGTAAAAACTGTTTACTATTCAGAATATTGATTTGGTCGTACAATCAAATTCGTAAATTAATCAAAAATCATTTTTAACTTAAAATCGTTTCTTTTACCCAAAATTTCCTTGCATACCTCTTGCGTGATGACAATGTAATATAGCAAATAAAATGCCCAATAGTCCTTCCAAAAAGTGACGTTAGTTTGATTTTGTTTTGATAAAGTATGCCAAACTGACATGTCAAAAATTATTATCATTGTAAACACACCCAAAATTAAAATAATGAAGTTTTTTGATTTTTTCTTGAGTCGGTTAACGTTGTGGGAAGGCAAAACACTGTCCAACTATAAAAAAATAAGCTAAGAATTTTTTTATTAATTAACAAAAACTTACAATATTAAAGCAACGTAGCAATTTCCAAAAATTATTCATTTTAAAAGGGGTTGAAATTACAGCGTAAAGTACCAAAACTATAACAATGCTTATGTCGCAACATGTGATATATCTTGTTTTCTTGTATTTCATTCTGTTTGATTTTTTCTCGTCTTGGTTAAAATCGTTCATGACCCCGATGAAAGAAATCGTCACTTAATTAAAAATAAAATTGCATTAAAAAAAACAGTGATTAATTTCGGTTAATCTATCTATATCTACATAAAAATATAACTATATCTCAAAGGTGGAACGAATTTTTTTATTTGTCATCCTACCTTGATCACCCTGTATAAGTAAACTTACCCAATCCAAATGCCAAGAAATAGCTGTAGACTATGTATTTAACTGATTTGTTTATTTGATAGTTTGATCCCTTTTTTTCGTAGGTCACTGGGCATAATCCAAAGAATCTTGTTACCAATATGAATGGTTTAATTATTTTGAAAGAATCATTTGTTAAATACATTTTTAAATTATTATTTAATCTAAAATGTGAACAAGATGAAATAAGGTTTTGTCGTGTCTTACTTTTTTAACTGTAAAATTGCAAATGACATCGAAACATTTTCAGAATGTTTGTTCGTGTTTTTATATCTTGAATGGAAATCAAAACATATCAAAATGTTTTGATATTATCAAGAAATTAAATTTTGATGTCTATTACATGCTATACTTAAATATTGTTTGTAAGTAAAACGTTTTTTGTGTCACTTTTATGTTTTGTAATTTAATATTTTGTTTGCATTGCGAGGGTAAATGGGTGGAATTTAAAAATGTACGGGGTTTGACCATAAAAATAAATAATCAAGTAATGCTTTGTTCAATTAATTTAAAAACAAATCTCTGTATAAATTTATAATTTTATTTACCTCAAGTAATTAATACCCATAATTAATCATTTTTACATTACAACAAGCATTTTTTTAAATATTAACTAATTTTCTAATACTTAATAAATGTTACAATTTCAACAAATAATATTTTTTCTACACCAGTGGATATGCACTGTGTACTAAAACTGGATGAACATTTATAACAAAACTCATGACAGCACAATAAATAAATATACAGGGTGTTTTACATTCGTGGTCCACTAAAAGTTGGTGCGGAACGGAAATATAATATATATATATATACACTTACAGGCAAATAATCGATCCACACAAATTTTCGATGAATTTCAATCGCAAATAACTTTTTTATTTGATGTCGGATTTAAACGAATATTAAAGAATATTGTAGATAAATTAATGGATAATCGCTCACATTTTTAAAAATTACTAAAAAATACACGTACGTTTATAATATACAGCTTTAAACAAAAAGATGTTTTTTACCATAAGCTTAAGACACTCTGTAGAGTGGCAAAACCGTATATTGTTCTAAATTAAGTTTTAATTATCAAGTCACATCTATTCTTAACAGTTTTGTTTTAGGTTCACCTCGATATATTTATTTTTGTGGAAAATACGGATTTTTAAAAAAACATTGCAATTTTCAATATTTTTCTGTATGAAGAACTAAGGTTGCTATGGTCCATCCATAGCCTACGGAGGATGACAGTGGCAGTTTTATTGAATCATCCCATACTTGGACATGTCATACACGGCTTTCAAAAGCTATCAAATTGTTTTTTGCAAATTAATGTTTAAATTTTGAGGTGTCTTCTTACTTTAAAAAATGGATAAATCTCCGACTGATGTTGCCAGAGCAATTAATTTAATCCAGGATGGACGGTCACAGTATTACGTGGCAAGTGTTTTAAACGACACAAGAAGTAAAGTAGAAAGGGCAACATCAGTCGGAGATATTTTTAAAAGTAAAAAGACACCTCAGAATTAACACATTAATTTACAAAAAACAATTTGATAGCTTTTGAAAGCTGTATATGACATGTCCAAGTATGGGATGATTCAACAAAACTGCCACTGTCATCCTCCGTAGGCTATGGATGGACCATAGCAACCTTAGTTCTTCATACAGGAAAAATATTGGAAATTGCAATGTTTTAAAAAAAAATCCATATTTTCCACAAAAATAAATATATCAAGGTGAACCAAAAACAAAACTGTTAAAAATAGATGTGACTTGATAAATAAAACTTAATTTAGAACAATATACGGTTTTGACACTCTACAGAGTGTCTTAAATTTATGGTAAAAAAAATCTTTTTGTTTAAACCTGTATATTATAAACGTACGTGTATTTTTTTAGTAATTTTTAAAATGTGAGCGATTCTCCATTGATGTATCTACAATATTCTTTAATATTCGTTTAAATCCGACATCAAATAAACAAGTTATTTGCGATTGAAATTCATCGAAAATTTGTGTGGATCGATTATTTTGCCTGTGAGTGTATATTAGGGTGGCCCAAAAAAAAAGAATATTTTTTTCTTCTCGTCTCTTGTGAAAATATGTTGGTTTGTCATGTTTTAAGAGCCCTGTCAAAAGATCAGCACCATTAAAAAATTTTTAGGGGTCGCTCAAGATTTTTAAAAATTACCAAAATCGTCAAAAATTGGATTTTTTTTATTTTAATTTTTTTTCTCGTTTCAATATTATTTTTTAATTTAAAAATAATAATGATTCTGAAAATTTCAAATCGATATTTTAATTTCTAAAGGTCGCTCAAGATTATTTTAACTTTCAAAGTAGAGTATTTTGAATGTTTTTGAGCGACCTCTGAATATAAATATCAACGAACTTTTAGCGACCTTTAGAAATCAAAATATTGATTTGAAATTAACAGAATTTTTATTATTTTCAACCTAAAAAATAATATCGAGACGAGAAAAAGAATTAAAATAAAACAAAAATTCAATTTTTGACGATTTTGAAAATTTTTAAAAATCTTTAGCGACCCCTACAAAATTTTTAATCGAGCTGATATTTTGAAAGGGCTCTTACAGCATGATAAACTAACATATTTTTACAAGAGACGAGAAGAAAAAAAATATTCTTTTTTTTTGGGCCACCCTAATATATATGTTATAAATAAACAACAATAATGTTGTTTAAATAATTTAAACTAATTTATTTAGTACTATAAGTCTTTATTCAAAACTACTCTCACAATATCAACCGATCGTTTTCAAAGTGTCAGGCACACTGCCGTTAAAACTAATGTGTCTACGTAGGTCCTCATTTGTTTATCTTCTCTTGCCCTTGGTATGCTCTTAAGTACCCTTTCGCTAACACGGCCATCCTGTTATCGGAGCGTCCTCGCACCGCAATACTGACCATCATCACAAAACGGCAAACTGTTCTAATGCAATTTGTACGGTTGCAGTCTTAAGAGGTGAACCTCCTTTTGCGTCTGTGGCCGACTTGTACACACTCGTAGCATTTGCCTAGGAGTTCAGGAAACCACAGAAAACTGAACTCTACGAGCGGGGTAGAAGTTACAATTCTAAAAAATACAAAAAGGAAGAATCAACATCTCACGAGATATACAAGAACATAAACTACGTTTTTGTTATACGCTGTGGGGTTGCCAAAATATTTTTAACTCAATTATGGGGTTGCCATAATTTCAACAATAATGTGGGGTTGCCACAATATTTTCAACTCAATTATGGGGTTGCCATAATTTCAACAATAATGTGGGGTTGCCACAATATTTTCAACTCAATTATGGGGTTGCCATAATTTCAACAATAATGTGGGGTTGCCACAATATTTTCAACTCAATTATGGGGTTGCCATAATTTCAACAATAATGTGGGGTTGCCATAATTTCAACAATAACGTGGGGTTGCCACAATATTTTCAACTCAATTATGGGGTTGCCATAATTTCAACAATAATGTGGAGTTGCCACAATATTTTCAACTCAATTATGGGGTTGCCATAATTTCAACAATAATGTGGGGTTGCCACAATATTTTCAACTCAATTATGGGGTTGCCATAATTTCAACAATAATGAGGGGTTGCCACAATATTTTTAATTCAACTATTAAATTGGCATAATTTTAACTAACTGGTAGGAATGCCACAATTTTATTAACATACTCGAAATTTAAACAATAGTGTGGGGTTGCCACAATATTTTTAACTAAATTGTGGGATCTCCACAGCTCCATTTTTGTTTTAAATTGTGGGATTGCCACTAATTTTCAACTTAATTGTGGTATTGCCACTAATTTTATTACAATTGGAATACGTACTTTTATTCAGTTGATGTCCATCGTCTTAACTGATCGTGAGCGGCCACAGTAGTTCGTCGTCCTTGTTTGTGCAACACAAATCTCTCGTTGGGTAGTAGGCATCGTATTGTATATGGCCCTTTATATTTCGCTTTCAATTTTCCTCCTCCGGCTACCTGGGAATCTTCGACAGCCACAGTAGTTCGTCGTCCAACTCTGTTTGATTTAACTTAACACTGTGCGCATTTTTAACAGTTAAAATTGATGGAATGTTGACAGGGGTATGTTGTAATTCGATACCGCTTGCACTTTTCACGATTTGTAAACAAGGTCTATCTATAACGTCCCACCCGATAATTAGGTCAATGCCTTTAGGGATGGAACCATCTGGTACAACATAATAATAAATGTCTAAAGTTACAGCTGGCATAACAGTAATGACGTCACACACACCTATAGCGTACACAAGTCGTGTCCCTAATCCCGAAAAAGCTCGCACTTTTTCAATTGGTTTGATCGTACCGTTTATTGTTTTTACTGCCGAATATTTTATAATTGATACGTCGGGGTCTTGGAACTATTCGGCCTATCCTGTTCTATTTCTTTAGATGTTCTGCTTCGGCATTCGTGTTGCAGATTTCCGTGACGGCCACATTTAAAACATGAACGTTTTAACATTTTGTTGGGCCTACCGCTATCTGACCCGCGTCTGTCAACGTCTGTCTCTCTCTCTCTTGTGCGCTCCATCACGCCCTGAGATCCACGACCCTTTTGGTGGCCGGCGTGCGTCAAACTCACTTAATCTTAACATAAGCTCACGTTCAGAGTCCGGCTTCTGTATGTGCAGCGATGCACGTGCTTCAGCATGGTCCAATCCGTACTCAACCATACTTAGAACCTTATTCCACGGTAATTTATCGTAGAATCGCTGTATGCTGCGAAGCTTTTGGTGTCCATAATCACACAAAGAGTCGCACTCTCTACTTCGTAGTGTCGAAGCTTTAAACGCTCGGGCACCTGGTGTCTCTTTGTCGGGAAAAGCAGTGATAAGGTCGGCACAAAAGTTTTCCCAGGATCGCCGTAAAGGTCTCCAGTTACAGCAGTACCGATAACCGCGATTCTTCAGGGCATCGCTCGCCTTCGCAATCATTAAATTATCGCTGACATCCTGTTCCTCCTTCAGTTTTGTTGCGTCCTCCAACCATTCGTTGATTGCGTATGCACTTTTATCGGGGTCATAGCTGGTGAGCTTGAATTTTATGTTGCCCTGTCCCGATGTTGACACCTGCGTCCTTTGTTCTCCAGGTGAGATCAAACTTGGCGTGAGCATTCCTGACGCTTGCGCATTTGATCCGTCTTCTGTGACTAAACAGGGCGTTGGTTCTTCTGGCGCTTGCGCACTGGCTCCGTCTGTAGAGACAAAGCAGGGCGTTGGCACGGAGGACGCCGATGTCTGTAGTTTGGCGTATTTTAATAACTCCGCAATCTGTAGCTGTTGCGAAACTACCATGTTTTCTAACCTTTCTTGCCATTGTTCCTTGATGGGTCTGGAACTTGGCGAAGCAACACCATCGTCAGAATTTACCACTTCCGACACAATTGTGTTTACACTAATTTTATCCATTTCTGTAGGTCACTGCACAGATCACTATCCCACTTCTGATGTTATAAATAAATAACAATAATGTTATTTAAATAATTTAAACTAATTTATTTAGTACTATAAGTCTTTATTCAAAACTACTCTCACAATATCAACCGATCGTTTTCAAAGTGTCAGGCACACTGCCGTTAAAACTAATGTGTCTACGTAGGTCCTCATTTGTTTATCTTCTCTTGCCCTTGGTATGCTCTTAAGTACCCTTTCGCTAACATATATATATATATATATATATATATATATATATATATATATATTAGACTGGTTCAAAAAAATCGAATATTGTTTTTTCTTCAAAGCCCGCATTGAAATATCTTCCTAGTAGTGAAAAAAGAAGCCTGTGAAAATTGTAGCTCTTAATATTAATATTTAGAGGTCGCTCATCGTGAATTTCTATTTTACGTTTAAATAACACAGGAATTCTTTTTTCTTAACTTTGAAATTTTATAACTCGTTTTTGAGTGAACATATTGGAATGAACTCTATATATTTTTGAAGAAAATTGAACGTTCTACAAAAAATATCTCTTATAATTTTTTCGTAAATTCACTCCTTTAATAGTTATTCAAGGTTGAAATTAGACATATAATAAATGCAACGTTTAAATAACACAGGAATTTTTTTCAACTTTTAATTTTATAACTTTTTTTTTGAGTGGACATATTGGAATAATTTCAACCTTGAATAACTATTAAAGGAGTGAATTTACGAAAAAATTATAAGAGACATTTTTTGTAGAACGTTCAATTTTATTCAAAAATATATAGAGTTCATTCCAATACGTTCACTCAAAAACGAGTTATAAAATTTCAAAGTTAAGAAAAAAGAATTCCTGTGTTATTTAAACGTAAAATAGAAATTCACGATGAGCGACCTCTAAATATTAATATTAAGAGCTACAATTTTCACAGGCTTCTTTTTTTACTACTAGGAAGATATTTTAATGCGGGCTTTGAAGAAAAAAAAATATTCGATTTTTTTGAACCAGTCTAATATATATATATATATATATATATATATATATATATATATATATATATATTATATTGATTTGAAATTTAAAAAGCGTTTATTTTTCTAAAATATTTTAAACAAAATGCCACTTCGGGTTTAACCGGAAGTGGCATCAACTTTGTTATTTAAAATGAAACACCCCATATATTTTTACATTTTTTTTACATCCTATATCTACAGTGAATGGTTTTCGAATTATTAATTTTTTTCGTTAAAATTTGAGCGTCAATCAAAAATAACCTATCACTTTTTTGTACTTTTGGGTAAGATTCGTAATACCACCCAGATTTATTAAAGTAGCACAGCAAATATCTGTGGTTCTTTGCCCCACCGTGAACAATCGTAGATACTGTAAGATGAGTGGTATGGTAGTAATTTGCAAAAATCCTTCACAACACAATACATGAGATGTTAACTTTCACTGAGATGGTGAATCGTTGATGTATGCATTATACTAAACGTGCTAATTGTATGGGAAATAAAGTGTTACATACTTATTTCGACATCGACTCAAGAATGAAGAATATACACGTTCCAGTCGCTATTATTAAAAAGAGTGAATAGCAAAAATTTAATTAGATCGAAGCATCTGGGAGTTTGTACGATTACGTAGTCGAGATTTTCTTTTATCGAGAAAAAAATATAAAAATACAATTATTACAAAAAAATACACGATTCTTATTGAATAAAATTTAATTCATAAATGACAATAACGATTACTGTCAAAATTCCAGATACATCTATTAATTAGTTTTGAAGATACAAGCCTTTGTGTCGAGCATTTATTTAAAAATGGTACTTCTGCTAAAGAATTTAATTAAATACTTTGACACTGTCAAATTGACAATAATATTTATTATTGATAATTTACTTGTCAATTATAAATAAAAAGATAATTATGCCAAAAATAATAGCAACGAATTCGAATGTAAAAGCCCTTTTGAGGGCAAAACTTTATTTTGATGAAATTATGCCAAATGCCACAATCAAAGAAAAAGTACATCGCCTTATGGACATTTTTGGAGTAAAAAAGTAACGAATTTGGTTTTATAAATATTACATCACACATTATTCACCATTGGACAACATTTACGTTCACAAAATATTTTAATTTCTTTTATATAAATTCTTTTCAAAGCGAAGATTATTATCCGCTAGGAATACTTTCTCTTCTGGGCCGTAAAGCAACCTATATTTAACTACTTTTTTTATATGATTTTACTCATCCAAGCACCACCAAAGCCAAATTAATTGCATTTTTAACTACGAATTTCACTGCGACCAACTTGACAACTGTATTTACCAACCAAAACCCTAAATTTGCCGCAGTCCAGATAAAAAAAATGAACTTTAAGTCAATAGGTAGGTACATTTTATTAAATTGTATGATTTTATTTAAAAACCTAATTTTTCATTTCTTATTATTATGCTGTGGTTGATTACATGCAAAATTGTTTATTAGACCATGTTGTGACAAAAACTAGATTTTTTGAAGAAAACTAACAATTTAGCAAAAACCAATAATAAATATAATTGCAAAATTGCATGCTTCAAAAGTATTTCGTAGTATTGTAATTGTTGAAACATAAAATATTTATTATTATAATTTTATAAAATTCATTAAAAATCACATATTTTTTAATTGCTAAAAATCAACGTAAAATTAAAAAAATCATATTTATTACAAGTTTACCTTGCCAATTTTTTTATTGTTGCAACATCTAATTACTTCGAGGTTCAATAAAATAAAAATCTTCCACAATAACTTGGATAATCTTTATTATAATCTCTACACACATAATCTGTAATTATTAATAATTATAAACACATTTAAATCGAATTATTTTATTACTTAATCCTTATTAAAAGCTCTAGTCAAAAACCAAACGTCCATTGGCTCTGATTTTCCCTTCATTGTGATTGGTCCTCGGTACTCAAAGCAGAAGTTCGGGTCTTGGTTATCTTCTTGGCATAACACTCTGAGAAAAACATAGTATTACAAGCTATTGTAAAACATATAAAAGTTATCATATTATGCTTTCTTATAATGCATAGTTAACCCAGTGGCGGCTCGTCGTATAAAGCAACTGAGGCCATGCCTCACATGTTAAAATTATAATATAATTTGAAATGTTAGATACATTACTTATTTAAATATAAAACGTTTTTAAACTAATTTACAGTCATTAAAAGTATCAAAACATCGAATAACCATCAAAGTTTAAAATATTTCCTTTAAATTTAATTTAATTCCAACTTTAATTCTAAACTCTTAAATCATTGCCCGACCGCATAATAGGAAAATAGTATTCCTAGAAATTTGCGCTTCATATACGTCTCACATTGCCGATACAACATCATGCTCCCCACCGCTGCACGGTGCCGCCGGCACCCCCGCAAGGCAGGGATAATACGAGAATTTATGTAGCTTTATGTGCCTTTATTAATCTAAAAATAATTCTTGTAAGATAGGTAAAAATGAGCAGTACCTCCTGGGTAATGTGGAAACCTGCTGAAAGAATAAATAAAAATCCCACCTCGTCCCGCACTTTTTGTAATATTCTAGCTAAATTTTGAAAATTCTTCTCGTGAAAGAACATATTTTTAAATAATATATTTTTATTATTTAGATTCTGAAGTGCTCCAAAAACGCGAGACTTTGAACGTTTCAAAAAAAATTGCCTGCGGTGCAATATAGCGGTTCATGGGCCTCACGAGCCGCCACTGAGATAACCATAATTTTAACGCCGTGACTAGAAGTACACCGGGAGTACGGGCATTAAAAGTACATCAGGTTTGTGCGCATGCGTGTTTTCATAACAGCTGATGGTAAAATTTCGGATTTATTAGTTGACATTAAATTGGTACACTAAGGCCCAGTTGTATAACAGTTGGTAAAGAGCTGGTTAACTCTTGATATTAATTATGTAATTGTAATATATATAATATTGTATAAGCATTGATTAAAATTTAATTAAGTGATTGAAATACAATTAACAACAAAATTAATGAAATGTCAGCATGAATTACCCAAACCAACCCAAACTCAACAACCCAACCCAACCGACCCCGCCCCATTGAGCGACCATTTAATATTATACAATTGACAAATATGCTAAATAAGGATTTTTTTCCACCCGGTGTACTTTTAATAGCGGTACTCCCGGTGTGCTTCTAGTCACTTTGTAATTTTAAATAAGTTATATAAAATTATGTTATGTATTTATTGATTTATGTATATGCATTACTCTAATAAGAAGTTTATTGTTTTTTTAGAATGGTTACTTAAGAAAAATTGGGGGAAAACTGGGTAATGGATCATTTTATTATATTCCTTATACAAGGGTAAATAAAAAATTGAAATAGGTTAACTTTAAACCCTTCTATGTATGTTTTTGCTATCCTATTGGTCAATTAACCAAGACCTATTTTGATGTTCTTTGAACACGCATTATATATAATATATATATAATATATTATATAATATAATACGTATTCTCACAACTCCCTACCCCTGTATTATGCACACGTAACCTTATAACTTCATTGATACTATTTAATTTAAACTATGGAAACCTCAAAAATAAATCCTGTTAAAAGAAAAACTTCCCTCGACACAGCACAACTGACGGTGGTGTCACCTAACATTGTTAGGCTAACATCAAAATGGAACATTTTTTAGCATGTTATCTCGAACAATTTAACAGCGTTCCCAGAAATAGTCTACACGACAGGCGAAAAAGATATGACATGGTCGACTACATAAGCACTTTGATCGAAGCCTGTAGAGGTTAGTACTTTTTGTTTTGAGATTTGTTCCTACATGTCAGTTGACAATATGATGATTCAAGATTCACAAGAAACAAATATTATCATGCTAACCAAGTGATCCTTGATTTTAGAAAAAAATGAAGAACCTGAAGACGCAGCTAACGAAGCTGTAACCCATCTCATAGATTACCATGAAAAAATGCGATCAACCAACTCAAATGTTTGCCTCATGGGGAAATACCACAACATTCTTTATGTAGCTCTAAAATTGTGTTACCTATGGCAACTGAAGAACACTAAAACCATAGCTTCATTACTGGACAAGATCTACGCGTGCGAAAAAACATTTGAAAGGCTTTTTATCGGTGCTATATTCGGAAATAAGGCGCCACACTTTATAGCAGGTTGGAAGAGTGATTTTGATGACCAGGAAGAAAATTTGAGGGCGGTGGTGTATTTTTTGGATAGGGCTAATAAAGCGTGTCTAAACTACTGTTTTAGTGATGATATAATATACAGGTTTATCGATGTACCCATAGAAAACTGCGGCAAATCTTCTCCGGTGAAAATTGTAACTCAATTAGGTTTACCAGATAAACTATTGATATTTTTACGATATGGGGCTTCGATTTATAATGAAGAGGATGATGGTAATCCTATAGAAATTATTATGAAAAGACTACTAGAGTTTAACCATGTGTATCCGTTCACCTTGGTGGCTTGCCTTCAGATATTATTAAGAGTTACCCCCACAGTAAAATTTAGACATTTGGATGATTCAGTTACGACTCAATCTTATATAGAAGAAAATTATGCCGAGCTAGTTAGTGACGCGATTTTACCCATAACAAGGTGTGGTGTTATACCCCCAGATTTAAAACATATTTGTAGATGTGTTATAAGAGATAAAATGATGGAAAATTACCAACTACCAATTGGTATAAAAGCATTACCAATACCTTACAACCTACAAAGATATATTGATATTTTGGAGGACTAGAACTTTTTATATTAGAATGTAAGATGTGTAAATAACATTTTGCAATTCAAAAACCTTTTCTTTTGACTGTAAATACAAACAAAACTAATAAATTACACAACTTCTATTATTTCAGTATGAGTTAACAAATAGATTAGTTATACAATGTATAGTTAACAATAAGTATGTAGGTTCATCTTTAAAATTAAATGAACAATTAAGGTGGCCATAGAAAAGGTCGATGGTATTTAGATATTTATACAATGTAATCTGTTTTTAGGGGGGGTTCACAGCTTATTAAAATACCAGTCACCGACATTAATAGTAATACTCACTTGTAGGCGTCACCAGAAACATTTATTTTTCCAGGTGCACCGGTTGTTTCAGTGCGACTCGTCAGATTTACAGTGTTGCCGTAGAGACAATAGCGCGGCATCCTCTGACCTATCACACCTGTGACGACCTCTCCAGAGTGAATGCCGATTGTTATTTTCTGCAAGAGATGGAAAAACTTAGAAGGATTATCTTCTGCACTGTGGGATAAAACTGGCAACACTGCCTGAGAACTTTTAGCTGATTTAAATTTATTGTTATAGACAAAATAATGTCATATAAGTTATAAATGCGCTGGTGAGAGATTTTGGGAAACAAGACTGGAGAGTTTATTTTTTGTCCCATCGTGTCCGTGAAGAGTATTTTTAACTAACTTAAGTGAAGTCATCTGAGGTATCTATAAAGATAATTTGCTAGAAATTGCTGTTCTGCCATTTTGCTATCTGCCATATGGTTGGTGTAAAAACGTTACAGTTATTTTTGAGATTGTTGATTGGTTTTAAAGATGTCTTTTATTGTTAAAATTAAAATTGATTAAAAACAGTGGCGGCTCACCCTCAAAATGAAGGAACGAACGACCTGTTGTATTTAGTTTTTCACCTGTAACCAGTATCGGCAATTTTAAAAACATTTTTGATTAGTTTTTTATACTCACCACTGGATCCTTATCAACTATTATAGTTTTACTTAAATCCATCATATCCAACGCCAATTTGGCAATATTTTTGGCATGCGCTACACACTGTTCAGGGATACCACTTACAGCCATATATTTATCACCAACAGTTTCCACCTTGAAAAAAAAAATAACCGGAATAAAACAAAAATTTCACACCTATCACATATCATTTAAATTTTCTCTTTCAAGACCAGGTAGCAACCCATTCAATAAAATTAATTAATATAAGTACGTAAAGGAGTAATTAAAAAATGAATAAAATGCCTATAGTAATAGGAAGTTAATTAAGTATATATCCATAAAATACTTTAATTTTTTATCACTAAGGTTCAATGATTCTAAAATATCGAATATCCGGATTTTACTATTTGCAAAAAATCTATAAAGATAAAGATTAACATTACCTTGTAGATATCTGGATTTACGGTGTAGTCCGTAAGAGTGTCGAATTTTGTGTACAACTCGTTGAGCATTTTCACGATTTTCATCGCTCCCTTGGAATCTGTATGAGCGGCACAGTATTCGGAAAATCCAACGATCCCTGAGAAAAGTAAGGTTACGAAGTCGAATTTTTTCGGCGGCACTGGTCTGTTGTGACGTAGCTCGCTTGCCACAGTCAGGGGAAGTACCGAATATAGCAATCTAAAAAAACAGTTTTTTTTACTTTTTTGATGTCAATACAAATAATATCTAAGTTACATCCGCTATTGCTTTAAAAGTAAATTATTTAATGTACCTTTATTTTTGTTTTTTATAATATTTTTGATCACTTTGCTTGATTAATTTATCATCTTTCAAAATACTTTGATCTGAAAAGGTAGAATTTTAATTTAAATTCTTATACAGCCCTTTACCAGTTATTTTATTTTATTAGAATTCATGTTATAATTTTTTGGAAAAGTTTCTTTCTTGTTGGTAGCGTCAGAGAACTCGTAAATATATTAATATATTTTTAACCATTGATCTTTATATTTTAATTTGTCCCGCATATTGATATGTGTACAAATAAATTATTAAATAAGGTAGCTTTTACAAGGTTTCATATTTATGTGTATATGTGATGATTCCCATAACATTTTCAAATATCAAGGCTGAGTATTTTTCAATTAATACAGCATGTTGATCTTATATGAACCTAATTAAGTGGTTATAAATTTTACCTATTTATTTAAATTAAATTAATAAAATTTTTTTGTGCAATATGTTTGCTTTTACAAATTATTGAGATATATTGAATTTTATTATTTGAACTTTGAATAACTTTTTAACCAATTGATTTAGAGAAAAATCCAAAGAAACCTTTTTTGTAGAGCGTTTAATTCTCTGGTTGGTGAATTACAAAAATCAGAAGGAACAAACAAAATTTGTCCCATGTTATTCTTATTGAAAATCGAAAAGTGCGATGCGGAGCATTAAGATATTAAAATTAAGGGCTCATATTTTCACTGGCTCATTTTTATACCTAAACGAAACTTTTTGCCTGTTTGCAAGAAAAAAAAAACAATTCGCCCTAGTATATACAGCGTGCAGATTCTACGTACAAAAATAAGAAAAAAAGTTCCTATAAACATAGGCCGAGAAATGCTTTCTAAGGGAACTACAGCCCCTAAATGAGGAGCCCCTGAAGATGGTTTTTATTTAATATATCCAAAACCGTTTAAGTCGGATTTATAGTTCTAAAACGTAGCCGTAGCCGTTGCAGTTGCAGTTGCAGTAAGTAAGTAGCTAATTTTTACAATTTATAGTTCAGCGCGTAGCGGTTGCAGTAGTGGCCGCGTAGTGACATTTGTTCTGTTTATAAACATTTCAAGTATTTTGTATCGGTGATTTTCGCTTTGTTTATTTGGTTTAGTTTACTTATAAATATAGTTTAGTGACATTTGTTCTGTTTACAAAGATTTCAAGTATTTTGTATCGGTGATTTTCGCTTCGTTTATTTTGTTTATTTGGTTTAGTTTACTTATAAACATGGTTTGGGAACCTTGTTTTTGAGTTTGACAGTTTTTCTGCAATATCTGCAATTTGATTGGCTGTAGTAGTCGTTGCCGCAAGAAAAGATAAAAGTTGGTCATCTCTTACGACAACTTACGACAACGACCTTGGATGCTACTACAAACATCCTCCAGCCAATCACAGACTGTTTTGCCCCTACTGCAACTGCAACTGCAACGACTACGGCTACGTTTTAGAACTATAAATCCGGCTTTAAGGTAGAAAAGTAAAATTTTGGGAATGAATCAAACTTTTTATGGCCAATAAGATGTAATAATAACAATTTAAAATTTCCATGAGGGGTGGGTCAGATAGATAGGGAATAGGGGTTAAAACCACCCTAACTTTTTGTACGTGTTTCGTGCTAGGATTTGATGTCAGATTATGAAACTTCGGAATTTTACACACAAAAAAGGTTCTTATGAATTTTTATGAGCATAGCACTATGTAAGGTAATTTTTAAATCGATTTTAAGCGAAAACAGTGCATGCTATCGAAGTTCATCAAGAGGACCTTTTTTGTGTGTAAAACTCTGAAATTTTATGATCTGATATCAAATCATAGCACAAGATACTTACAAAAAAGTTAGGACCCACCCCTTATGAAAATTTTGAATTTGTTATTTTTCCAACTTATTGGCTATAAAAAGTTTGATTATATCCCAAAATTTCACTTTTCTATCTTAAACGGTTTTGGAGATAATAAATAAAAACCATCTTCAGGGGCTCCTCTTTCGGGGGCTGTAGCTCCCTTGGAAAGCATTTCTCGACCTATTTTTATAGGAACTTTTTTCTTATTTTTGTACCCAGAATCTGCTGTATTGCATGCTAATTATGGGACACCCTGTATATATATTTCATATTAGGATCTTAAATTTCAATAGTTGGTTTAACCTTGAGACGCAAAGTAGAAAGTTAAATTTTGGGTACATTAACTTCAATAAGCAGGTGTAATTTAAAAGGTGTGCCCTATTATAGTCGTAAAACTAATTTTATTGAAAAATTAACTTTTATTGCGTGAATTCTTACCTTACGTAACATGCAAGTCACTTACACCTATTTAAAAAAATCATTAAACTTTTAAAAATAAACATGCTTTACACTACCAACTCATTATTAAAGAATTTTGAATGTTTTGCAATTTTTTTACGCTTATCCACATTTAATAGCAGCCCAGTTTAGAAATTTCGTTACTATTTATAATTGGATCTTTATTATTATTTCGGTGTTGATTTGTGATATTTGAACTTTCGTTTTTAGAAAATGTAATAATTGGGCGAATTGCTTGAGTCACGGTATAACGGTATAAATCTTTATTACAAAATTCGTGAATAATTATGAAGGTGTTTTATTTTTTTTAATAAATATTAAGGAAATTTGAAAAGTTTGGGGTATTTTATATTTTACCAATTTCACATTTTTAGGTACGATCCTAATAAAAATGGGTAAGCATTCCTTTTTTGCCTGTTTACTTATACTCTATACATTTAATTTTTGTTATCTTTCTAAAAAATTGTTCCTACCCATCTGTTTTCTTTTTTTCAGTTTCCAGTTCCCTGTAGGTCTGCTGAAGCTTGTCAGTCAGAATTTCCAAATTCCTGGTTAGTTTATAATCAGCTTCGAATTGTTCAGACATTAGGACCAAGTCCCTTGTTGCATCGTGTAATGGAATGTCGCTTATGAAAAAACCTCGCCTAAAAATGAAAAATACATTTTTAAAATGTTTAAACGTCAAAATTGTAGGTACTGGAGCAGAGAAAATCCTCATTGGTAGTAGAGGCAAATTTCCAATACAGGCGTGAATATCTGCTATCTAAAAATGAGTTAGTCAAAAATCACTAATTTAATAGTGCACAGAGAAAAGTAATCTCTTGATTTAAGAAAATGCATTTATTTGAAACAGGTTTTCTTGTATGAAGTATGAAGAAGTATGAAGAAGTTTCTTATTCGTAGAAGTTTCTTATTCGTAGTAACTTGTTTACAATAAGAAAATACTATTATTTGGTTGTAAAAAATAAGTTTCTTGAAAACAACTTATTGTTGTGATTAATTGTAAAGAAATATTTATTTAGAGCAATTAATTAAATTGTTTGGATGTAGATTTTGTTTCTTTAAGTAAGCTTCTACTAAACCTGAGATAAAAAGTCAACTAGATATTTACTTGTATTAACCAAATATCTGTTTAAAAAGTCAAATAAACCCAAGTTTTCCACTAAATAAATATCTTCTTGTAGATATCGAAATAAATAATTTATTTGAGCCAAGCCAAATATAGTAAAATCAAGAGATTTCTTTTCTCTGTGTGGCTGGTTTTTCACTTGTACCTTGGTTAACCATGTAATACCATGGTATCCCAAAATTTATCAGCCAATTCTTATGTAAAATTGTCCCCTGAATCCGAAAATACCGTAAAAAGTTAAAAAAATATAACAGTTTTTGAAATATAGTCAATTTTCTATTTAATTTGGAATTGACTATATTTAAAAAACTGCTCCACTTCATAATTTTTGACGGCATATTCGGATTCAGGGGACAATTTTAATAAGAATTGGCTGTTAAATTTTGGGATACCATGGTATTCCATGGTTAATCATGGTACAAGTAAAAAAGCAGTCACTAATAACTTTTAAATTAGTCATTTTGGACTTATTCATTTTAAGAGAGTGAGCAGGAATGGGGGACAGGACAAACGTATTTGAAATTTTTGCAAAAAAAATTTTATTTCACAAATAGATTAAAGGCTGTATGTCATTTTGAAAATCTAGCGATTTCCTTAATCAAATTTGTAGGGATCGGGCGTTTTAGACATAATTTTTCAATCTTTTTAAAAGTGAAGACTTCTAGATTTACTAAACAAATTGGAGCCCTGAGGACTGCATAATAAAAAATCATTCTAGACTTTTTCTGATTAACCATATAATTTTATCAAGAACAGGCACTTGTATTTGCAAAATTAGATAGTTTCACTTTCTGCGTAGAACTACGTACCTACTCTATCATTTTATCATCATACCCATCCCATGCCCAACTACGTCGCATACAGAGTGTATAGAATTATCTTGTAAATATTAGCGACCTTTAAACATACTTCACTTGTCTGTACAAAGGATCACGGCATACTTAACATTCCTCTGCATTTATTTTGCAATAAATTATTACGAACAAATAATAAATAATCGCTCGAACCTGCCAAGCTGTAAATCTATTTGATTGTTTGTTACGTAAGTTATGGGTCTTTTATAATTCACCTGTTGAATTATACGGTTGATTTATTTTGAAGTACATGGCCATATCGGATATTAAAGTGATTTTTAGACATAAATTCACTGCGACCAAGCTCGAAAGAATCACAAGGATTTTACATAATTGTTTATTTTAAATAAATAACGTGAATTTAATTAACTATTGTCACAATAATATTTGGGTCATTGTTAAAAGTATGTATTCATATATATATACATATATACCTACAAATATTATAAAATATACAAAAAATAAAAGTTTTAATTATTTTTTCTACTCCCACCTTTAAAACGCCCTTTACATGTTTCCTTGACACTAAGTGACCTTTTAAATACACATTGACAAGTTGTGGCTTTATGGCGCTTTAGTCACGGGCTGAAGTTAGTTAACTAACTTAAAATTTTAAGTTAGTTGACAGTTGTCAAATGTCATACAATCGTTAAAATAAAGTGCATTTCTTGTAAAATAATACTAAATGTGAAAATTATTTTATTACCTCAATACAAAAATACAAAAGTATTAAAGAGTTTCTCAACGCCAATATTTGAAAATTTTATATGAACATTGTACTGACCTTTTAATTTCGCCGGCAGTAAACTAAATTCGGACACGGACTCCACTGTAAAGTGCTCATAAAACATTTTCTTTACTTTCACTGTGAAAAACTGTCAATTTTCAAGAAATACATTTCGATTTATAACCTTTATAATCTGTGTTTATAAAAACACAAATTGACATTTGACGGTGACACACAGATTTCCCTATTGTTTCATAGATGGCGCTCTATACAAATTTTTGATTTATATCATTTTAAGATAATAATAAGTATTTGTCGTAGAAAAAGTATAGTATGCACGTTTATAAACTTTTCTATACACTCATTAATTTAAATTAAATTCGTGTATAAAATGGCGTTTATCAAACTTGATACATAATATACTATTTTGTCCACATGTTTTTTATACTATTACATCTATATGAACAACATTTCTGGATTTTTTTAACATTATTTTTTTATATATTTTCCTATTAAAGTTAAAATGCATAATAAAACATAACATAAATATATACAAAGATATATTGCAATTAACAACATATTTCTTTAGTGCACACTTTTATAATTTTAATTATTACTTATAAAAGTATATTATTTTTTAAGTATACCTACTTATATTTAAATTATGTACATATACATACAATGTATATGTCATACATTTATAAATACTCGTATATTAGTTTATTTCCAGAACAGCTGACACCTGCGAAGTAATAAACATTCTTACTTTTGCAATTTTTTTTTGTTCATTTACAACAATTTGTCTTTTATTTATTTTATATCTTTTTATGGCCTTTTTTACTTTTAGAATTTTTTATTACTTGGATATACATTTTTACCAAATTTTCCTTTTGTTTAAGTTCTTTTTCTTGTACATCTCTCCACTGTTTGGTTTAAAATATTAAATTAAACCAAAAAATAATTCTAGCTTTCTAAAACACCAAAAACATTTCAATTAATGACTATTTAAAAATAGACTCAGGGGTCATTTTTATGGTCATACTAATTACCCACATAACCTAAAATCGTTTTAACAAATCTTGTTTGGGTCCAGAGAATTGCTCGTTTTAAAAAAGACTCCCAGTATAATCTAAAATGGGTCTGGGAGTGTTACTTTTGCACGACTTGCCTACCTGGTGAGGTCGTCTAGATTCATGACGCTGGGATAGCATAGAAAAATGACGAGATCGGTTTCGGGCACGTAGAGCATCTGGCCTTTGAGTCGCAGGAATCGGTACTCCTGCGGCGCGTTTACTTGCATAACGCCTGACCGCGTTCGCAGGACGTAGATCGTGTTTATGTGCGATAGGATGTTCTCGAATGTCAGCTCCAGATGCGGGCGTATCTGAAATTTACTTCAATTGTGAATAAGAAGAGACAGAGACGTGAGATGGGGTGATTATGTCATTAATACAATCGAAGATAGTGATTGCAGCAGTATCAACCCTGATAGCACACTTTATTCTAAGAATGTTTTTTAAACCTTCCAGTCAGAATATTCTTAGGATCATGCTATATTTCTTCTAAAGAACATGCTTAAAAGATATATAGCATGACCTTAAAAATATTCTTACTGGTATAATAGGCAGGTTCTTAGAAGGTGCAAAGTTTTAGTGTTAAAAATTACTCTAAACATATGCTTAGAATGTTAAGAAAGTACTTTCTTAACATTCTAAGCATTATAATTGCTATAGAAACTTCATTTAGGAATATTCCTGTTAAGCATATTTAGTTCAGTTACCTATATAATAGTAAAATATACCATAAACTACGTATAAATTATATACCTATACCTAAGTACCTAATTAGTAATAAGTATTAAATACTAAGTAAAAAACACAATCCAAAATATTTTTTTATAGTTATTTGTCAAATTAAAACAATATAACAAAAATACATTTTTCTACTCCTATTACGGAATTTGACCGTTCTATTATCACTTTTATCTATGGAATGACATATATTCCGTAAAGTGTTACAGAATGAAATATTCTATCATCCTATGACAGAATAAACACTCGTTGCGACATCTCTGTTTTTAATATCTAACAAATTTTAGACCTCACTTTCTTCCAATTAAATGAATTTTCTATGGTATTTTTTGGAAACGTAGAAAAAGTATAGTCTGAAACACGTTTGGAATTGCATATTCCGCTCTCGTGAAACCGTCAAACTCGCCTTCGGCTCGTGTGACAAACTCTTCACTCGAGCGGAATATGCTGTATTCCAAACTTGTTACAGAATATACTATTAATGTAGGTATTTTATTTTATCTTAAAAATAAATATTTATTAATTTTTATACCGATTTTTTATTTCTGAATTAACATTTTTATGTATAATAATCTTATCTTCAACTTCAATCTAATCTGACTTATCCCACAAAATATTCCAATTTTACTTTTTATGAAATAATGTCATACAACTTATGGTTTAGAGATAAAATTGTTTATTTAATATTTTTAAATAAATATACACGGTGGTCCAGGTTATAGTAGCAATAATTCACCATTCTATAGTCCATCGAAAAATAAGTCGACATGCATGGTAATTTTTTTCTCCAAAACCCCTCCTAAGGGAGATACAGCCCTTCAAAGTTGAGTTTTAAAAATCTTTTTTTTTGCCATAACTCTCAGTAAATAAAAGCGTTTTTGACTAAATTTAGTACAAGTACTTAGGAAATAGGTACTCGTTAGCTGACGTAAGTAACTTTTGTCAAAATTGTCCAGTGACGTAGATACAGGGGGGTTATTTCACTTTTTCCACCCCATTTTTTACGCCACTGGATATTGGTTTAAATTGACCTATTTTTCTAATTCCTTGTTCAATTTTAAGAAAAAAAGCCACTCTTGTCAAATTTTGATTTAAGGCTTTGTTTACGAGATAATTGAGTTTAAAAAAACATACAGTACTGCAAAGTTCAGTTTTAAATATCTTTTTTTGTCATAACTCTAACTCTAAGATCGCTAAAGCGTTTTTTACCAACTTTGATACATGTACTTAGTAAATAGATACTCGTTACTTGACCCAAGTAACTTTTGTCAAAATTGTCCATTGGCGTAGATACAGGGGTTGTTTCACTTTTTCCGCCCAGGATTTCACTGAAAAATAACATGCATTGTTTTATTTTCTTCAAAACTTCCTCAGAAAAGACATAAAGCCCTTCAAAATTCAATTTTAAGATTTATCTTTTTGTTATAACTCTCATATCGTTTAAGAATATTTGATTAAATTTGGTATAGGTATTTAAAATAGGTAATCAACACGTAATTTTATTTAAAATTATCAAGTGGCCTGATGCGCTTTATCCAATAAAATTAGGGCGGCCCCACTCTAGTACGAACTGTCAGTCTTAAACAACTGAAATAGCTGTCAGAGTGTTAATAAAGGTTTTCTATTATTTTTTACAGTCTGTTAAGATATTTTAGAGTTAATACAAGTATCCTGTAACCATGCATGTCGACTTATTTTTCGATTGACTATTGAATGGTGAATTATTGCTACTATAACCTGGACCACCCTGTATATTAATATGTCGCAAAATTTTTTAAGGGGGCGACAAATACATTTCACTGTCATATTATGACAGTGAGGCATATTTGTCGTCTCCTGAAGAATTTTACGAATGAAGAATACAACATATTAGAACGTGGGTATCTGACATATATCGAAATATTCTCCTAGAAGCTCCATAAGAAACCTTCTAAGAACATTCCAAAAAAGTATTCTTAAAATGTTCTTAGGATGCTTTTTAGGAAGGTTTTAAGAAGCTTTTAAGAATCTAATTGCATCATTAAAAGGGTATCTATTGAATGTTTTAAAAGTCCCTAAGAACATTTTTAGCAATAAGGGAAGGTTCTAAGAATATTCCATATCTTCTTAGAAGATTCTGCTATAAGGGAATGATACGGGGCCCCCGGCTAGGGGGGCCCCCGATTGGCTTCGACATGCGTAAGCAAAAAACATATTACCCACATTTAAAAAAAATTGAGGCATGAAATTAAATAAATAAATAAATAATATTATTATTTAATGTTTATACTTCGATTTATTAAATTTTCCTAAATACCCTTCTATTCCAACGAGGCCGTGAACTCATACGAATTGTTTCTGCCCGCACCTTTCCGCTATGCGTTGTCTGCAGCGCAGTCTGCGCATATTGTTCTGTGCTCTGCGCAGCATACTGAGTCTGATTTGCGTGTTATTATCATAGGTTATATTAATAGCGAATTATAAATAATTATTAGCGTTACAATTATTTCAAAAGACTTGCCTTTATTTTAAAATAGAAACCTTTTAAAAGATGTTGAAGAACGGTAAATGTCTAAAACCAGACCAAATTTTAAAGTTTGCCTGTACTGTAAACACGGGTGGCTTTAGCTCACTTTTAAACTTAAGCTTAAAATTTTTGTGGATTTAACAATCATAAACATTAAATATTGTTTACCAAAATTTGAGTTGCTCTTTCATAATAACTATGTTATAATATTACGTAGGGTTTCAAAAATAAAAATAACAGAACTGGGTGTGCAAAGTTACCCCCTGGTTGCGGGTAACTTTGTCTTGCAGTGTATTTTCAGTATAAAATAATCTAAATATTTTATTTTAATTAAACACATCTTAGCAGCGACATATGGCGATTGCAAGGGATTACCGATAAAAAAAATCGACCTGTAGTTAACCAAGGATCATCATTCCAAAGGATTTCGCCCAATATAGAAATTGTACCTCGTGTATTATTATATTATATTATTATATATATTATTTGCGAATTAAAATAATATGTATACAGTATTGGCCATAATTATTGCAACAACTGTAAAAAACATCCTGGTTTGTGCTTTTTTGGGATTAACAGTGAACACACTTTCTCACAGTGGATAACTGACGTTTTTTTCTTAGTTGACAAAGAATTGTATAATGATTTAAAAATGTGTGTATTCAGTGACTAATGCTTAATCTTTATAGGCACTCCTTTTTAAATTAAATAAAACTTTCACTCTCAAATGGAACCGCAAAATATTTTATTTGTTTATTAAAATAAGTTTTGGAAACACCTATATTTATAAAATTCAATAATAATCACCATTTTATAATTTACAAATATATTATGCTTGAAAAAATACAAGTTTAATCACTTTTGATTATTAAATAAATTAGATATAAAGGTTATAATTCAATTTATAACAATTAATTCAATCCGATCATTATAATCATTTCCCTAGTCACTGGCTATCTAAATTGCCTTAATTTCATAATTTCTTGCAATTTATTAATAATTTATTTAAAAAATATTATATGCATTTAGTGATGCTCCATGGTTAGCGGAATACTTAATTAATTGACCGTTAGGTTTAACAGAGTAAAATGTTTTACTTAAAACAGCCAAAATCTATTATTTAATTCTTCAAACTTACTGTGTCCAATATATCGGTAATTTTGCAATTTTCTGACGTAACGATAGGAAAAACCCTCCTTAATGTAGAACCAGTTTGGACGATCCTCATGTCCCTGTCAAACATTATGTGGAATGGAAATATTTTGCTAAATGTTGCAGGTGATATTTTCGGTTCTGAAACACAGTGAATGTTATTTGAATAAATTAAATATAGGTATCAATAAAATGCCACACATTGACCAACCCTAATTGTGAGATGATATCGAACATTTAAAATTATTTTGTAACACTTTTAAACATAAATAAAAGTGTGGACACTACGTGTTATTATTTTATATATGAGTCATTCCAAATAAAAACACCAAATGGGGTGCGCTGCTTGATTTTTTATTTTGATAAAAAAAATTAAGGATGATCTTTTAGATATCAAATATAAAAATCCGTTGCCGTTTTAATTTTTGGATTCTTTACTTTTAAAGGTACCCTAGAAATCTGAAATCGTGTCAATTTCTTACTCTCTTATAGTGGGCCAGAATTTTTTTCTGTGACAAATATTGAAATGATTTTAATTTTGTTTTACTGTTCAGTAAGTGTTTTTTCAATATAAATTATTATTATCCAATTAGTTAATCTCATAAAAGAATGGTAAACCAAAGATAATACACCCCATAGATTGGAAACTCTCCCACCACTGCCCTCTAGAGCTGCAATACCTGAACTATATCTATTTGTTAATTGCAGACATCTGTACAAACGCTATTTGCAAATGTCAATGTCAATCATAATTATTAATGTCAATCATAATTTTTGAATTATTAAATACATTTTTGCCCCTTAAAAGTGATAAACGTGTTAATGGTTGTGAAATGTATTGTTGATGGGTGCGGAAATGTACCAATTTGTAAGTATTGACTATCCTGCCGTCCTAAGCCAAAAAGACTCATCTCCAATATTATTAAATTATTCTCTTAGCAAAAAAGACGCATTTTAACTATACATACATTTTTAAGTACTATAGGTAGGTATCTCCTAAAAATTTCTAATTAAATTGAACGTATCTTATGGAAAAAAAAATAAAGCGCTATAATTTATAAAGTAAAAATGTGGAGTAATTTATAAAGTAAAAATGTGGAGTTGCGTCTTTTTGGCTAAGCTCGGCAGTATCGCTCTAGCGTAAAAATACTGTTTGTTAATTATGAATTATTTAGTATTGCTTGTTTAATGGTAATTTAGTCCAGGCCAAGCCCAGGCTACTTATGGTTGTTTCAAAACCAAGAGTTGGCAAGATGGATTTTTCACGGTTGGTTAGAACTTGCCAAGTCCACACTCAAAAGCCTTGTACAAATTCCTATATGTATATGTATAAGTAGCCTGGACTAAATTACCAAATTTTGCAATATTCTCTTATTATTGAAGAATTAAGACTAATATTTTTTAGGTTTACACTCCCCAAACAAAAACATATTCATGTATACCCATTATGTATTTAATATGTACATATATGTATTTTATTTTATATTAGATTATTACTACAATAAATAAATCATATATTCATACTTGTTTTATTTAAAATACAGCAGTAAATACAATATATAAAGGCACCCTACTAAGCATCAACATTCAAATTTGCCGCCAATATGTTACAGAAATCTACTTCAATTTTTGGCATTGCTGAGGGTATTGTAGACCTAGATGGCGTTAATTTACTTTAGCCTTTTGCCGCTAGCGCTAGTGCAGTTTCCAATCTATGGGGTGTATTATCTTTGTGGTAAACCACTAAAGATTCATGATAATTATCCAATTTTTGTGATTTTTGTCTGGCTCCTGTGCCTATTCTACTAAATCTAGAAAGTTATTTTTTTTTCAGGTTTCAAGTACTTATACAATAGAAAACGTAACTATTATTTTAAGTTTCTAGACTATCATTTCCTTTATTAAAAAAATTATTGAAACTTGATAATTCTTAAAATTAGTCAATTTTGCCCTCAGAAATCATTATGTTGAGGAAAAAATAAAAATCTGAAACTTTCAGTCCAGTTAGTCTTGTTTTGTTATTTTTATCCATGTAAAAGATATAATAATTTTTTTTATGCAGTCAAATCATGTTTGGTAGAGAAATGTCAGAACTGTCAAAAATATTTCATAAATATTATTTGTGCGTATTTCAATTGTGATTTCAAAAAGTTTGCAAGTTTAAAATAAAAATAACAAAACAACACAAACTAGACTGAAAAGATGAAGGTGGGGACTACATTTCCTGAAAGTTTCAGATTTTTATTTTTTCCTCAACATAATGATTTCTGAGGGCAAAATTGGCTAATTTTGAAAATTATCAAGTTTCAATAATTTTTTTAACAAAGAAAATGATAGTCTAGAAACTTAAAATAATAGTTACGTTTTCTATTGTATAAGTACTTGATACCTGAAAAAAAGCAACTTTCTAGATTTAGCAGAATAGGCACAGGAGCCAGACAAAAATCACAAAAATTGGCAAATTATTACAAATCTTTAGTGGTTTATCATTCTTTTATGAGATGAACTAATTAGATAATAATAATTAATATTGAAAACATACTTACTAGGCAGTAAAATAAAACTACAATCATTTTAATAATTGTCACAGAAAAAAGGGTTTTAGCCTCTTATAAGAGAGGAAGAAAATGACACGATTTCAGGTTTCTAAAGGATGCCGATTAAAAATAAAGCAACTAAAAATTAAAACGGCAACGGTTTTATATATGATACCTAAAAGATCATCCTCAATTTTTTTCATTAAAATAAAAAATTATGCAGCGCACTCATTCATTTTTGGTGTTTTCATTTCATATGTAAAATTAAAAGTATCATTACAATACCTTACACAATAATAGATATAATTTATTCGTCAAAATTACAATGTAATAAAGTTTCACTTATTTTCTTATAATTTTATAATCTTTTATCTTAATCAGTGAACCAAATAAACTACTGACTAGTTCTCGAATTTCACCATTGCTATAACTAACTATAAGTATTAAGTTTCTGTCAGATCAATAAACTAGAAAGGAAAATGCGGATATAACGAACAATTTGGTTTTAAGTTTGCAAATGGAATGTTTCAGGCCCAGTGAGAACAAAAAGAGTTTGGCTGCGTTGGAAAATCTAGAAACTCGTATAAGCATAACTGGTAGTTTGTTAAGAATTTCGATGTGTTAATTGAATTAGAGTAAAAGTATGAATAATGTGAAATGGTATCAAAACAAAAACCAATATAACCAAAAAATTAATTAAAAATAAACTGCATTTCTTTACCCAATGAGAGCGTTTCTATTTCGTCAATGTCTGGAAGCTGCTTTTTCTGCGGACCATTTGTCTCAGTTATGAGAAATTGGACGTGATCGCAATCCGCCTTCGTTCTTATTATCTGCACTTCTACCTCGGTGTTGTGAAGCTTGCTCGCCACTGTCTGAAATTAAAAAAAGTATGAAGGGAAAATTGGCTTTGTTTTTTTGAATACAAGGAATTTAATCATTTGGTTTGTGTTTTGCGTGAAAAATAAAATATAAACTAATCACTGCAGAAAAAAACATAACATTTATAATTGTCAATTTTAAAAATCAATGGTCAAAATCAGACATATGTTTTAACGATAATTACCCTATTATATATGCCTACAAGACAATTATCGCTTAAAGCGATAATTGTTTACTAGGAATCGATAATTTCATTGTATCTAAGTATCCATGGCAATTAATAAAAATAACGTCAGTTTTTATTTTAATGTGACAGTTATTTAAATTGTCACGCTTTTCATAATTATATTATTTTTTAGTTTACATTTTATTTATTTGTTACATGTTTTGTGTTGAAATTAAAATATTTGAAAATTTTATTCTTTGATATAATTAGTTTATTCGTGTAATTATCTAAACAAATTACACTCGTGCATAAAAATAATCAGATAATTTTGCATTCAAGCATATTGCCTTTTAAAAAATGCATTAGGTCATTTTATATTTTGAGGAAAGAGCCCTCCTCCTAGGTACCTTCGATGTCGGGCTCTTTCCAAAATATAAAAATAAACTCATGCATTTTTTAGGCAATATGCTTTCAGGCAAAATTATCGATAATTTTTAAGCACTTGTGTAATTGGATCATTTTCAAGAAAAACCCGCTTTCAGGAAAATGAAGATCAAAATTTTTTTTGCTTTAATTGACTTTTGGTTGGGTTTTTATACATGTTTAGAGTTTTGTTTACTTACATTTAAGACAGGCAGTGCACTTTTTAATTTTTTTTACTTTTTTTTTCAGAAAAATCCACTGTGTTACCAATTTGAAATCCAAAATTTAATTCAATAAAAAAAGTTGTTATAAAAATAATTTGAAATAAAATGTACTTAGTTCACAAACTTTTGACTCCAATTTTTTATTTTATGTTTTATTAAAAATTGTATGCTTTTTTTAAATATGTATGTTCGTTAATTTACTTTTTAAAAGACACCATTCCGATTCTTTGTTAAAAAACAATTCCATTAATATTTTCTTTTAGTCACTGAATTAGTAAGTTAAACTCTAATTTATAAACACGTATTACGTGATAGTGTATAAAAATCATTTTAAGTATTTTTTTAACAAAAAAAAAAGTAACGAAATAGACATTGGTATCACAACGGACTGGGGTTCACAAAGGACTTAATCAGATAACGTAAACAAAAAACTATAAAGGGTGGTACGATTTTAGAGTAATGCATAAACAAAATATCTTGTAGTGGTGCTCACTTGCAGAATAACAACTTAGATTTCTAAATTGTAGACACCCTTTTTCTTTGACTATAAGCTGGTGAAGGTCCCTTTTAGTATTTGTTTATTGCGTGAAATTTTCCCTTGGATGTAATCTATATCATGAGTTGTAATCACAAATATTTTAAATTGGTTTATCAAAAACTACTTTTAATAAAAGCGACGGTAAATATCCACTTTGTTGTCGAAAAATTCTATTGCGTTACCCTAAATTCCATTACGTTACCATAAGGTAACATAATGGACTCGGTAACGCAGTGGACAAAGTTTTGTGAAACCATATTTAAAAAATAATAATAAGACATTACAGTCATTAATTACTCTCAATGAGCTTTAGTGCCCTAAAATAAACTTTTAAATTGAAAAATATTATTTTTTTTACCTTATTTTTATTATTTTTTTGAGTAACTTAGCGGACAAACAATTATTACATTCGCGTTACCCGCACCTGTTTCTTCCTGAGTGAATAAATAAATTCAGCTGGGTAATGTGTACGTCCAAACATCATTTGTTGATCCCGTGAGTGCCAAAAAAGTTGCCATATAAATGTTTTTTTTTTAATATTCTATCGGTAACGCGAGTCGCGTTACGCGACAGACGTAACGCAACGGAAATCAAGTCTGGGACATGAGTCAAATTTAAAAAAAGTAGTTTAAAATTAATTCTTTTATATATAAATTGTTTACTGTATTAACTAAGGATGTTATGGATTACTATAAAGCAACACAAAGTTCTGGTTATTCAATATTAAAAAAAACATGTATGTAAGTTTTATAAAACGCTATAGCACATTTTCGCTTGTCCCATTATAATGGGACATGCGAAAATGTGTGTTTCATAAGTTTCAAATTTAAAAAAAAATTATTCTTAAATAACTAAACAAACATTTTCTGAAAGAGTTTACTAAGGGCTTATTAGGCTTTCACTTGGTTGTTAAATCAATAAGATCCGATAATTTTTAAGAAAGTTATTGGAATTCAAACTTACGGACAGCGGAAGGCGGGTGTTTTTTGAAAACGACCCAATTACCCCCGATAATTACAATCTATTGTTAAAGATTTTAGCTTAAAAATGAATAAAATAAAGTGTTTTTATTTACCAATTATCGATAAAAGGCAATTAATTTCTTTACTTGTATTTTTTACGCTTTGGCATTTAATTAAAACCTGATAGCTGGAATTAACAACAAATTGCAATGATTAATCGATTTTCTTGAGAGAAAGGTCTCAAGTTGAAATCGAATATTACACCGTTTTGACATTGAATTTTCCTTTCCGTATTTTTAAAACCTTTTACGTAAAAAATTAAATGGGTTAATTAATTCAAAATTTTATTTTGATATTTTAATAAAAATGGTCCAAATCATAATTCTAACTTTTAAAACTGCCGAGGTACGATATTCAACTTCCCCATGCTTAGCCTCGAACCCTGTATATTTACAGGCGTATAATAAATCCAAAAAGATGACGAAATCTCTTAAAAACATGGGTCCAACGTTGGGTTAGTTAAATTTAACTTCTTGGTTAATGTATCTTTTGGTTAAAGATATGGTAGTTGATTTATTTTACCCTTTTTTAATTCCTTTTTAACTCTTAAGTCAACTTAAACTATATTATCAGGTTTAAGTTTCTTATAGCAAGACAAAATAAGACGAAAATCTAAATAAATGTTACTTATTATATATATATTTTTAATATAGGTAACTTCTACTGTGGTAGACTTAGAAAGGTGATATTTCGCGAACAGTCACTTACTAGCAAAACAAATATTTACACGTAATTACGAATTGTTCGAGTGGGGGCAGTTTCGTAGAAACAGCGGTTGCTTAAGCTTTTTGTCCCATATAAACTTTGAGGTTAGGTTATTATACCATTTGATGCAATTTTTGGATTACTCAGTTCGGCTACTATTAAAAAGGTGTACCTCTCAAACTTCGATAAAATAAACCGTTTCCGAGATATTAGAGATTACAGTAATTGTACACCTTGTATATATAGGTCATTTTCAAGAAACACCCGCTTTCAGGAAAATGAAGATCAAAATTTTTTTTTGCTTAAATTGACTTTTGGTTGGATTTTTATAAATGTTTAGAGTTTTGTTTACTTACATTTAAGACAGGCAGTGCACTTTTTAATTTTTTTTACGTTTTTTTCAGAAAAATGTGTTTAGCTAGCTTTATATATCTCAACAGTGTTACCAATTTGAAATCCAAAATTTAATTCAATAAAAATAATTTGAAACAAAATGTACGTTTTTATTTTATTTTTTATTAAAAATTGTATGCTTTTTTTTAAATATGTATGTTCGTTAAGTTACTTTTTAAAAGAAACCATTCCGATTCTTTGTTAAAAAAACAATACCATTAATATTTCCTTTTAGTCACTGTATTAGTGAGTTAAACTCTAATTTATAAACACGTATTACCAAGTGATAGTTTATAAACATTCATAAACAAAATCCCTTGTAGTGGTGCTCACTTGCAGAATAACAACTTAGATTTCTAAATTGTAGACACCTTTTTTCTTTGACTATAAGCTGGTGAAGGTCCCTTTTAGTACTTGTACATTGCGTGGAATTTTCCCTTGGATGTAATCTATATCATGAGTTGTAATCACAAATAATTTTTAATTGGTTTATCATAAACTACTTTTATTAAAAGCTACGGTAAATATTCACTTTGTTGTCGAAAAATTCTATTGCGTTACCCTAAATTCCATTGCGTTACCATAAGGTAACATAATGGACTCGGTAACGCAGTGGAAAAAGTTTTGTGAAACCATATTTAAAAAATAATAATAAGACATTACAGTCATTAATTACTCTCAATAAGCTTTAGTTGCCTAAAATAAACATAAACATGAAAATTAGTATTTTTTCTTACCTTATTTTTATTATTTTTTTGAGTAACTTAGCGGACAAACAATTATTACATTCGCGTTACCCGCACCTGTTTCAATGGGACATTTTTTTTCTGTTGAAGTAGTATATAATACTTTCATATTTTAAATGCGCTTTGAAAAATATTTTTGTTTGCCTATTTTTGCTTTATTTTGGTTAAAATTAATTTAAAATAGTTTTAAACATAAAATAGTGTAATGTTTTATTATTGGTTTGTTTAAATTATCTTATTTTTGGAATCAAACTAATTTTTAAAATTAATGTCATTTCCTTTTGATAGACAGCAAACCATACCATTGCTAAGGTTGTAACTTTTACTTTAAAATAATCTACAATTGATTATTACTTACTTTTTTATTCAAATTAACTGTCTCTAGCTTGGCAACCCTGAGTGCTTCATTACATTCTTACCCCTTATTGTAAAAAAATGTAGATAAAAATCAATTTGTAGGTTGGATTAAAACATCAAACTTTCATATTTTCACATTTTTTCAAAATGCCTTAAATTAAAAATCGTTACCTTTACTATGCCGATGACGATGTGCTCGAGTCCGGGCCTGTCCGAATAGTAATGCAGCACCAGGGCGCCATCTTCCGGGCGTTCGGTGCACCGGAACGATGGAGCTCTCATTCCGGGATACAGCGTGCCCAAGTGGTCGTGAAGCGCGTCTAAATTCTGCAAGAAGAAAGTTTGCTTTGGACGAAATTTAACGTTATGTGAAGCTTGTAATTGAGTACGAGAGATGGAGCAACAAGTGAATGTAAGAGTTTAGAAGTTTTGTTTGTGTACTTAATATTAGGGGAGGTTTAGAATGATAGAATTGAAGTAATAAAAGAATTTTAGGTTTTAAAACATGCTGAAAGTTTCTTATTTTACAAAATTGAAAGGTTAATATGTTGTGAAAAATATTAAAAAAATTACCTGTAAGAAATCTCTTGGTGTAGCACCTAGAACCTGTAAGATCTTATCATACCCAGAATCCTGACAAAACTCGAAAAATGTTTTACCGAAAAGTTCCAAAATATCATTTGCAGGTATCTCTAGAAAAATAGATTAGCAAAAATAGAAACAAATAGGCAAAATATTACTTAAAATATCAACTGCGGCCATTATAACATTATAAGTAATCTCATCTTCGTAAATTTGTCTCACCAAAAATTGGCCTTCCATTTGTACATCAGCCTGTTTCCTAAAAATTTACATTTTTTATTACATTGTTTGTAAAATTTAAAACAGTTGAAAAAATAAAATTCCATTCCCCACGGAGAGAAGAGTATAATGCTGATTACCATAATTATAATACCCTTTACTATAATTTAAATTACTATTTGAGACAACTATCTTGTATATTGCCAGATACTATGCATATTTAGTAATTTTTAAATATAAAATATTAATATTCTCAACCAATATTGTTTTTAATTCTTATTATAATTAAATTTTTTCCATTAGTAATAAGTATAGTAAATTTTAAAATATTATGTTGCCATTTGAAATATAAAATATTTTAAAATCAAATATTTTTATATGTTGACAATTAAAAATTGTAACATATTTATTGTACTTTTTAATATACAAAAATGTTATGAGAAAGAATTGAACCTACACCTTGCCAAAGTTTTTTGTTTTGAGTGCGTTCCATCAACTTAAAATACCGACAGACATGCATGTGTTTTGACCTATATTGGGTATCATCAGTGTCGACACGACACTGTCGAGCAACTTGTAGTAGTGGAACACACCCAAAACAAAGAAATACCTTAGCTTATATAACATGGTTGGTAAGCCAACAGAGGCGAGATGTAAGAACATCACGTGATCCACTCCGTCTAACAACGCGTCGCGACGTGGCCTTTGCCGCAATCGGTACATACTATGCAACCAAGTAGGTTAAAATCATTCTTATAAGTATTACCATAATGGGTCAAGAAAGTTTATTGAAAAAACTAAGAAAATTAAATGTTTAAAATGTCATGACTTCCTAGATTGAATATTATATTTAAATATATTGTTTATTTACCTTAAACATAAAAGTATCTATATTTTTACTATATTTTTTATTAATGTGTAATATATTATAATATTAAATGTACACCTTACATTTATATAAATCATATAGTAAATATTACTATTTGTAGATAGTAAAATCAATTTACTATACGAACATATTAAAAATTAATATATATATATTATACATTTATAATTTAGTAATATTGGTGTTGTAATATTTACTAAAATTGTATAATAAAAAATAGTATTTTGTATTACAATTAGTGATGGGCGTTCCGGGTCACTCTTTTGAACCGGATCACTAGATCTGGATCACATAAGTGAACCGGTTCAATGAACCGGTTCAAAAGAACCGTTTGAATCTCAGACTAACTAAAAATAACACTTAATGAAATCATTCGGAGCACATAAACTTTAAGTTTATGTTAAAAATGTTTATCACTTTAATACTTAAGAGCCTTTATTAAATTATAAGGCAATACAAATTGTTATTTTAATAATATTATAAAGGCTATTAAATATTACATTGTATTTTATTAAAGTTTTGTTATACCATACTATTTATTTTATTAAAATTTTATAAAACATTAAAAACTCTTTTATTTTAATATTTTGAAAAGATATATTTAAAACATAAATGTTGTAAGTTTACACAATTTAAATTAATTAATATTAAAAATATATTTTAAACGACATTGTCATAAGGGAAATCATTTCATATTTCTGTGGGTTTGTAAAAAATTACCAAAAGTATAAATTTGCCTAACGTAGTAACGCGACACAGAACACAGAACGCAAGAAGTTCGGTTCCAAACGATGCGACCGGCATAGGCACTAGCGAGCTGCATGATCGAGCCGCGCCTAGAGAATCGAGATGTTTTGGTCAGATCTGGATCACAGGAAACAAAACGTACTGCGACTCGCAGTCTGCGAGCGCGAGTCGTTCTTAGCTCCAGGGAGCCGGTTCAGATCTCTCGCGACCCGCCGCTCACGGCTCGAGCGGCTCGCCATGCGCGGCCTTTTCAATGCACTGTAGCAGCAGTGGTGAAGCAGTGAATCGGAGCTTAGAACGGCTTGCGCGCGGCCGCTAGCCAAACACAGTTCTCTGCTTTGTAATTTCGGACCCGTGAGCCGGTTCGTTTAATTTTCGTGGACCGGTTCACGTAGATCACTTATAAGACCCGGTTCACTGAGCCGGTTCAGATCTGACCGACACATCTCTAATTACAATCTTAATATTGTATTGACGAATATATAATATTGTTACCCTAAAAATTTGTTAAAGTAAATTTTACTATATTTTTTTTACAATCTAAAATTTACTATACATTTCTCTCCGTGGCGAAAAATTTTTAAGGTAAAAATTTGTTAAAGTAAATTTTACTATATTTTTTTTACAATCTAAAATTTACTATACATTTCTCTCCGTGACGAAAAATTTTTAAGGTATACGATCGTATACCTTAAAAATTTTTCGTCAACCCACTGCACCGTTGAGAGTCGACCGAACAGAGGCGAAATATTTATAGCCTGTGAAGCTCCTTATTAACAGCAAAGAGCGTAAACTTTTTACCTTCTAATATATCAGGCTATATATAGTTCGCGTCTATTTGTCACTGCTTGAGGCGAGATAATTGAAGCTTGGGCTTGCTCTAATTGGTGGTTTTATATAACATGACTGAAGATGTGGTGGATGGCAGTTTGTGTTGTAATGTGTGTAAGCGGGTGTTTTTGTTTTGATTCATATTAAATTATTTAAAACTGTTCTGATCTTTTATAGTTTTTGTCTCTATTAGTAAAATTTATTATTTTATTATTGTGGTCCACGGGGGTACATACAAGCTGCACAGGTAGAATTAGCAGTTTTAATTAAGCATTGTGGTTCATTAACACCCTGTATATTTTAGTCATTTAAACATTTGCTTCATACATAATTATTATTAAACAGTTACTCAAAAATATTTTGTGTAGACAGATGATTGTTAAAAACAGTTTTTTAGGTCTCTAAATCCAATACAAATTATTTTGCTTTAAAACATTTCGGCGTGTTTAATTTTTCAGTCCATTAAATATAATGGCCCCTTAAGATTTACTGCAAAGCGATTGTTTTAAATTATACATGAAATTTAACCAGAAGAGGTTAAATGAGGCAAAAAATGTTTTGATGATTTAAAGTAAAACCAAATTTAAATATGTAAAGAATAAGAATCCTATGAAAATGTTTAAAAATAACCACAGAAACCTTTAATGTGTACAATTTTGTATATTTATGTTTACCTAAGCAATTTTACTGAAAAAAAAATTATTAAAAAACTTACTTTATATTTTCCCAGGTTTCAGGACCAAATGATTTTAAAACTAACAACTCCAAAGCATAATTAACGAATCCATACTAAAAAAATTCATCAACATTTTTAAGAATTTTAGACAAAAATCATTGCCAACCCACCATTTTTGCAGGTAAATATTTCACTAATGCGTTTCAGGATTTAAAAGCACGACATCCGAAGATTTCAGGATCAACGTAGTGCGTTTCAGGACAAGGAATGAGAGCGACTGAAAGTTTTAACATCGATTCGAAATATGCGCTTGCGTTGGTTGGTTTAGCTAAAAATTTTAAGATGGAGCTGTTAAACAATAACAAAAATATTTTTAAGTAATGGTTCATCCTTAGATTATAAAATAAGAAGCCCTATTTAAGTCTCATTTTTTTGTGGGTTTTTCGTAAATTTTTGATGTTAGAATACAATTCTCCAGATAATTTTACGTAAAAACTGCACTAGTTACAAAGTCATGAAGTCAACCGTTAAAAAAAAAACCTCAATCCGCATGCCTTTATTAAAGGCCCTTAATCTCAAAATTTAAAATAGCTTCGTCAAAGAATTACAATTTATTACAATATTTTTTTCTATTATGCCTTATTACAAAGTACAAAATTTTGCCCGTGTAGGGGTAAAAATATTAAAGTTGATTTGTAAGTGTAAAATTTCACACTACAAAATACACTAGGTAGCATTTAGTGCTTATTAACTTTATTAAACACATTTCATTCACACTATTTATTACCTATTAAAATGAATCAAAAGGGTAGAAAAACTTAATGCGAGTGTTTGTTACCCCTTAATGTGTTAAATAGTGACAAAATGTACACCAGTGCATGCCAATTTCTTTGTCTGTTTTGATGTTACTAAGAGCTCTTTATTTTTTACACTACTAGTGCACATTGTATCACAATTAAAGTAAAATTACAACAATAGTGGCAAAATAGAGTGAAAAAACTGTTAATAACCGAAATGCGTTTTAAAATGTTTGGTTGGTACCTATCTACCTACGCAGTGCATATCCGGAGATACCGCGTTGTAGAAGTGTGGCATTTTTGTTCAGTTAGATTTTAATTACGGTGAATCCATAAGAGGACATTTTTATTTTTTGGTAAGTATTATACTTCCTTTTTCTTTAAGCCTTAATACTCAATAAATACTAGTGCTGTACAATTTAGCCGCGGCTAAGCCGGCCAAAAAAGTTAATTAGCTTGCTTACTGATCAGCTTAGCTAATTTAACCAGTTAACTAAATTAGCTTAGCTAATTAGCTGGCGGCTTAACCGGTTAATTTAGCTTAGCCTAGCTAATTAGCTAACGGCTAACTGGCTAGTTTTTTTAAGCTATATAATGATTTCTTATTCACGGACAGGTTAAAAAATAATAATTTTGATGTTGCTTTTATGACAAACAATAATAGAGTAATTTATTAGGTTAAATAATATTTTACATTTTATTTATAAAAATGGCTTTTAAATTAATTGATAAATTTTTTTCAGTTATATTTCTATTTTGGTAAAGGAAAATTAATAAATTTGCATTTTCGGAAAGTAAGCAGTTCCGTTTAGAGCTTATAATATTTCCGGCTGATTTAATAGCTTTTATTAATATTATGGAAAATTAATATACGTTTGGTAAATCCCCGACATACAGCCGCCTAACGCCTCTCTACCAATGGGATCACCAATTTTTTATAACAGAAAAATGGATTACTGATGAATTCTCAAGATAATTCATTGCTTACAAGTTGACAGGCAGTAAAACATTGCATTGATTTACAAGGTGTCCCTAAACTTAGTGGCATAAATTTAGGACCAGATTAAGCAAGTCAAAATAAGACGAAAACCTAAATAAATATTTTTCCTAATTACTTATGTTTCCAAGATACAGGGTGATAAAGTGTTACCTATCATATCAGTTTTTTTAATATAACTTCTACTCTGGTAGTCTTGGAAAGGTGATATTTTGCGAACAGTCACTTACTACCAAAACACATATTCACACATAATTTCAATTGTTTGAGTGAACACAGTGTCGTAGAAACGGGGGTTGCTTTAAGCTTATTGTCCCATACAAACTTTGAGGTTAGGTTTTTATAACATTTGATACAATTTTTCGATTACACAGTTCGTCTACCATTAAAAAGGTGTACCTCTCAAACTTCTATAAAATAAACCGTTTCCGAGATATTCGAGATTACAATAATTGTTATATCGCATTATTTAAAAGGATTAAAAGGTATATGATAACAAATTTTATTTTTTAATTGAAAAAACTAAAAAACGGCATTCCATGAGCCTCGAGACTTTTTGCCCTGACCGTCACATTAAAAAAATTGTAGTTTTTTCAATTAAAAAATTTGTTATCATAGTCCTTTAATGCGATATAACAATTATTGTAATCTCGAATATCTCGGAAACGGTTTATTTTATAGAAGTTTGAGAGGTACACCTTTTTAATGGTAGACGAACTGAGTAATCGAAAAAATGCATCAAATGGTATAAAAACCTAACCTCAAAGTTTGTATGGGACAATAAACTTAAGCAACCCCTGTTTCTACGACACTGCGTTCACTCGAACAATTGTTATTATGTGTGAATATATATTTAGGTAGTAAGTGACTGTTCTCAAAATATCACCTTTCCACGTCTACCATAGTGGAAGTTATATTAAAAAAACTGATATGATAAGTAAACTTTATCACCCTGTATCTTTTAAACATACCTAATTAGGAAAAATATTTATTTAGATTTTCGTCTTATTTTGACTTGCTTAATCTGCTCCCAAATTTATGCCACTAAGTTTAGGGACACCTTGTATAATATAAAATGATATTTTAAAAGGCACCGATTTTGATAATTGTCATACATTTTTTTCTTTATTTACCTTTTTGTTGTATTCACTACCACCAATAGGTTTTACTCAAATAATAGTGTTAATTTACACTAGAAGTTTGCACTAAAAGAGTAAAAGTACCTTTCTAAAATTAGAACTTTTCCAAAGTAGTGTTAATTTACACTGAAAGTGGGATTTTACCCAGGAAGTGTAGAAGTACACGATTTTAGGTAAATTAACACTTTTTAATACACAAGAGAATAAAATTTTTGTTTTTCTTTAGTAATATTGTGATTATGATTCCCTATTCAAAATCTTAAGGCCCCTGCGCCAAGGGGGAAAACATTATCCCCCTCGATATAAAACTTTTAAAAATCTTTCATTTTCCGAGAAATTTAGGGTGGGTGAGTTTTTAAATGTAATTTTCTATATTTTAATAATTATTCAAATGTAAAACAAATTAGTATTTTGCCTAAAACCCCGTAAAATAGCCAACGGTATTTTTCCGAAATATGGATGAAATTGCAGCACTTTCCGCGTAATGATGGATTTGAGCAACGGGCCGAAAAATTCAAAATATGCCGGCACTTCGGTATTCCGCACAACAACCACATCATCCGAAAATTGAGTAATCAATATTTCATTAAGAATTCAGGGGACGGTGTGAGAAAACAGAAATTCCGTTCTCGCATTCTCATTTCTTCCTCCGTACCTTTAAATTGGTTGAGGCATATGGGTGCTTCCATAAATTACCTCATTAAATAAATAATAACGCAACTTGACAACACAAAATGGCCATGGACTGCAGAATATCTCTGAAAGTCCACATTTTACATGTTCATTTGAATAGATTTAAAAACAAGATTGAAGCATACTTAAAGGAACATGGAGAACGTTTTTATGAAGACGTCATGGACTTCAATATCCTAATTTAATATAATTTAATATAATATTTAGTACTTACTAAATAAAAATAACAGAAGTAGTAAACTTTAGAAAAATAACTACAGAAAGTATAAACTGTAGGGACGTAAAAGTTACCAAGTTAATTGAAGCTTTTCAATTTCGTTAAATAAATGTAAATAACTTGAAACTAAAACTATTTATAGCGCTTGGGTTATGTATTTTTCATGACACCGATGTTATATTGTGTTGTCTGTGCAAACGTATTCACACGCGCGCTGCTTGTTGTATCAGTAGATGAAATAAAGTTGGTTTTAAAGTTTGTCCTAAACCGGCAAACAGCGAACCTATAAAACTTTGCACTCAGAAAATGTATTAGTATGTTACCATGACAATTTGTTAACGAAAATTTAATTATGTTAAACATTTATTTTCCAATTTAAATTTGGTATACAGGGTGTTTCACGTTCGTTGCTCATTACAAGTTTCTGATGAACGGCAAAAGATATCGATTTGAAATTTTTATAGCCAATTAATTCCAATTATTTTGTTTTATGTTTTTAGCAAATTAAATATAAAATTAAAAAACAGTTCGATTGATGTAACTACACTGCGCGTCAAAATTAACGCATAACAAGTAAAAAAAATCCAACTCTAAAACGCCTTTACCAATCTTTATAAAATTTTGTATAAAAAACTTATATCTGTTCAAGGGTTTTTCGAGAAATTATCCTTAAAGCCCTTTTATTTAATAATAAAACATGCTCGAAAAAAACTTTTATAGGGAAATTTAAGTAAATAAAAAATATCTTGTGAAAGACCGTATTTTTGTTAGTATACCCTGAAAACTTTGTACAAATTAAACAAACAGTAACGAAAATACAGCGCTTCAAAGTTGTCAAAAATGACCACTTTTCAGCAAAATAATAAAAAGGGGTCATTTTTACCGATTTTGAAGCGCTGTATCTTCGTTACTGTTTGATTGATTTGTACAACATTTTTATGGTATACTAACAAAAATACGGTCTTTAACAGCATATTTTTTATTTACTTAAAAAAAAATTCTCTTAAAGTTATTTTTCGAACGTTTTTTTAATTATTAAATAAAAGAGCTTTTAAAATATTTTTTCGAAAAACCATCGAATACGTAAACTGAGATATAAGTTGAAGTATTTTTATACAAAATTTTATAAAGATTGGTAAAGGCGTTTAAGAGTTAGAATTTTTTTTACTTATTATGCGTTAATTTTGTCGGGCAGTGTATTATCTAAAGGTACCTAAATTTAATAATTTTCGAGGTATTTAACAATTTAAAATATTAATCAAGAAGAGCA